TTTCCTCGCCATTTTATCTCTACATCGTAAAACATATATGTTGACGACGCGTACCTACCTCATTAAGTGTGAAGACATTTCCATATTACATCCTTATCTATCACACCTTCTCACCAAATTGATAAACACGTAATATGAAACTTATGAATTTCTTTTCCTTCTCTCTAAATACTTTAAACATCCACACTAATGTTATAAATGCCAAAGTTGTCGGTCTGTCCATCTATTTGTATCTTTATACAACGAAACTGAATGGATGGTAATGAAATTTCAAGTTAGGAGTAAATATGATGAGGGCGGTCATCTTTTATTTAAAAAAAGCAGACAGTGCCTCGGATATAAATTAGTGTTGTATATACTTAAACAAAACAAAGTTATAACTGAGATTCTTCCCAAGTGCTGAAAACATTCTAATTATAATTTTTTCTGTAAAGCACCGTATTAAAGGAAAATGGAAAGCCAACTATAAGCAAAAGAAACCTGTCATTTGCAGAACCGACTCTATTAATATTTTTAAATAAAACGTTATGTAAAAATGTGCGTAATACAAGTTTTATTATTGGCCATAACAAACATTTAATAAATAATTCTACAATTTCAACGTTTATTACTTAATTGAAGTAATTAAGAAATCAGAATTCATTTGTCTGTTTTTTTAATTTTCGTGGATAACTAAACTTGAATAATTAAAATATATACTTATACCTACATGTCAGAAAACTGAATGTCATAATTTCATTTTATCCACATATCTTCATAAGTCTGTCTTTGCCTTTCACTCACTGTTATATTTATTATTTAATTTTTTAAAGGCACTTTTGATTTAGATACATATAATATTTACATAAATAGTAAATTTACATAATAAATAAGATTTAAAAAAAAGTAAATTTTCTGATGATTTAAATAATAATGGGATGAAACGGTGCTATTAGAGGTTGAAACCCTTACCATTGAAACTCATTTCATTTTAGAATACGCTACAGGAATTATATTGCCTTGAATAGTAATCATTAAGGTCGCAAGGGATGTATCCTTCCGAAGGTCATAGTACAATCTTAAATACAACCTTGAACTTACTGCGAAATAGGCCGGCACCCGCCCGCGTATCTACAGGCAATGAAAAAGATAACTACCTAGCTACAGACATATCTCTCTGAATGTAGAAACATGTTAGATAACAGTTTGCCGCATAGGTACAATCTATGAGGTGAGAATTGGACATATATGTGGTAGGTACTCTTAGACTGAGGTATTCCTTTTATAAGAGACTTTAAGTTCTTTGCAATTATACTAAAGTTAGTTTATCAGCAAAGGGCAGTTTTCAATTTATATGCTTTCGTCATTGGCTTTTTTGTTATAATAAATTACTAATGATAATAATGATAAATTCTAGAACAGAATAGCAGAGAGGGTGGACGGACCTTCCTGTTTTTGGCCATTTTATCTCGATTTTATAATTCAAATTATTGTAACCAGAAAATTGTAACATTTTATTATTTGAGACTAATAATGATTATTATTAACATCGTCGAGGTAATCTCAGTAGGTCTGTGTACTAAGTTTTTATAAGAAAGTTTATTTCACTGTTATTTCATGCACGAGTACGTAAATGTGTATTTTCGGTTTTTCTACATTTCGATTTGATTGTTGAATTTCATTTTCAAGCATTTGCTTATATAGTGAAGTTGTCTGACAATTTTGAAACCTGTTTTAGTTTGATCATGAAATCTAAATATTTCTAAAAGGTCATTTTAAGTAGTGTTTCCAAATATAATTCATCTAGATAACTGTACACACCCACTCAGTTTTCATCATCAATCTAAAATTATCCTACACCTCCATCCTTAAATCTTTTGAATATTAGATATATTAATATTGCCTCTAATTCGTATCGTGTTCGTCATTATTTAATACTTAAAATTACTACAGAACAAGAAATGTATGTACAACTAGCCGTTCCCGCGACTTCGTCCGCGTGGTATTTAACTTTATTTTACAAAAATAAAAGTGGCCTAAGTTACTCCTTATTACAGCTATTACAGGTACCTGCCACAAAAAGTCCCGTCAAAATAGGTCCAACCATTTCAGAAATTAGTCGGAACAAACAGCCAGACAGACAAAAATTTAAAAAAAATATATTTTGGTGTAATATACCGTATTTATATGCATGTAGTAAAAACGGTTATTTCAACATTACGAACAGATACTCCAATTATTATTTATATGTATAGAAAGCTCTTGGTCTCATGGCCGTTTTATATATAGGTACCTCCCTGTTTCAAGTGTGTATGTAACATCTATCAGTAAATATCCGTTTATTCGTTTTTGATTAATATTTTACACGTAATTTCAGTAACGTTAATAGTTTATTCAATACAGGAATTATCGACAATGGTACAATCAGAATCCTTATCAGTTTTGAAGTCATCTACATATGTAGTTCAATTGAACAATTTGTGCTGAACCACTCTGGTTGTGGACCCTATCAAAATTATTTAATTATAGTTTTGTAATACTTTTTATTAATAAAAAATATAACCATACATCACAATAGTGGTCCAATGAAGCTTAATAATAAATAAAAAGTACTACAACTTAATTCATTTATGTTTCAGTAGGATTTTCAATTAAGCCATCGTAAAAACATATGGTAAAATTACGCACCTATGTTTTTTGATAGTAAGTATGTTTGTAGAATCTAGGATTCTATAAATATTATATTGATCATTTCTACGATATAAAACTACTAGAAATTTTTACTAGTAGACTAATTATATTGTAATAATATATTATATTAGGATATACAATAGCTGTCAGTAAGCAATAAAATTCCGTTTAGTTACTTCTGATTAATGATTTAAAACAAACGGGTAAATTCACTCACGTTAATAGTTTATTCAATACCGGAATCATCAAATCCACAAAGTCACTTAGGTGCTATTAAATATTAATTCTTATCGTTTTTGGATGTTAGGTGCTGCGGTAAATATATTTTCTTCGTTAAAAATCATTTTCTCTTTAAAGTACATATTTAATAATATGACCAGGAGTGAAATTTTTGAAGAAACAGATTACTACTTATAGAGCGAATAGTAATCTGTTTAGTGAGTGAAAAACTATTTGTTACATGACATAAAATAATGTAAATAATATTTGATCATTTATGTGAATTGATATAGTAATTTTATATTATGATTATAAAAACGGTTTCTAACCTACTCATAGATTTTAGGCACCGTTATTTCGATAAAAATACACCCCAAGATTGTTTATTAAATATACCACGCTTCTAAAACAGAATACCGGATGTATTTGTTTACAGTGAGGATAAAATTTATCATATTTTTTAAAACAAAATTCAAATCTCTTAGTATGATGGTAACTGTAGTTTGTCCACTATCTATTTCTATCTATTTCTATTTCTGCCGGGTCCAATAGTATACTATTGGACCCGGCAGAAATCGTCCATTCCGAAAAAAAGGCTATCGAAGAATACATTGACAAATACACAAAAATGTCATACAAATCTGTCTAGCCGTTTACCAGGAGTTAGTGACATATACACGACTTTATTTACTAGGAAATGGAAATAATGTCATCCAATATATTGCTCATGAGTATCTAATCCTACCTACCAAGTAGTAGTAGAGTATGGTTATACAAAAAAATAATTTTATTGTTATGGAATTTAGGTACATTATTATTATTTATAAAAACTAGCCAACAAATTGTAGTAACCGTGTAAATAGTTTTGTTAGCAAACAACTACAGCGTCCCATATATACTATATTTAGCATTGACTAAAGCGTTGCATGACCCACATTTCCTGCTGTTAATATCGGTCTCAATATTAGGTAAAGTTATAACTATACCAATACACATACTGCCCAAATTACTAAACCTATTGTTACAATGGAGTCTAACAATACATTAAATTATTGTATGTATCCTGTAGTCATAAAATATCAATGTCTGTATATATAATAAATAAATAAAAGAGTGTTCGAGTAAACATCTGATAATATTCAAATATAACACTTGAAGTGTTCGATTACCTTCCTTAGTACTGACTCGTGTCATGACATAATTTTGTAAATTTAATTTGTTCCACAGTATTACACATTTGTAATTTGACTACTTTTAAAAAGTTCTAACTTGTACTTTCAAATCTTGTAGTGACCTTTCAAAATAATCATCAGTTAGGTAGTTAAATCATATAGACAATCCATCACACAAGGCTAAACTCGAAGAGACAATCCCTTCTTTTATTCCTATTCTTACAGTAATTTTCTGACTTCAACATGTGATTATCTGTATGGTAACATATCATTACATCCGACATTTTATGTTACAAATGAGTTTTATGAAAAATTTCAAATACAAATTTCAATTCACTCTGACTAAAATCAGGTACTATATAATCTATCCTTCGTCTTCTAATCTGATTTCTATTTAACTTAGTCAATTCCGAACCATCATTGGAGATGCGAATAGTATCCTCAATACGATCCAAGTATGTACTTACCTAAACAAACATCGGTATACACTTGGACCAAAGAGTTTTCACTGTTCCCTTACGTCATAACAAGGATAAAGTTATATAATAAGGTTGAATTTTCTTTACACATCTGATTTTTAAGCCCTAGCAATTAGTTTTACCATAGCAATAATACTATGTTAAACTCCAATGCCTCTAATATAGACAGAGATAACAGATATTCGACGCAAAGTGTTAGATGTAAATGATTTCAATAAATTAATAATCAAATCATTTCGTGGAACATTTAATAACTTATTGATTTTACACACCGCCCAAACTTCATTTACGTAACGCTACAAAAAAAACACAATGTGCCCATATAAATTAGCACACGTAAACAATTTGAGTATGGCCGATGTCGGCTTAGTGTTTGATGGTAGTGATCATGTGTTTTGTTAAGGTTCCCATGTCTTATGGTGTTACCAACAGGGAAGTGATGTCGTCAATGTAACTTTACCAACAACGATATAGATTTTCTGATGCCTCAATGTAGCGATGGAGTTCAATCGATGGTGATTATTTTGTAGAAATTTTTCAAGTTGTTATGAGGTTAGTCGTTATTGATCGCGGGGCGCAGTAGAGCGCGAAGTACGCGCGGGCGGCAGGCTGCGCCGCGACTGCCAGGGCGGCGGGCGACTGGCAGCTAGCGCCCGCCCTGCGCCACCCGCCCTCTATCGCTAGCTACGACTGCGCGATACAAGTTTTATTTTGATCCGCAACGGTTACCAGGGTACTGTCGGGATGAAATCATCCACGTGACGAAGATTGTCAATAAACTTGTGACGCTACGTGTTAGTTATATATTAAGGAAAATCCATCTTATTTCTTCATCAAAATTTCGTACTTTAATAAGTTAATAAAATATATTTATTTAGCAAATATTATTGACATTAACAGCTAATACAAATGCATACATGAAATTAAATTGCCTCCATCTTAAATTAGTTATTCGTGTCACAATTAGTAATTGGCTCAAGTATGTAATTCGATACAGGCGAAAGACATCACAAAGTGAAAATATTTCATAAAAGCTCTTTATATATCTTTGAATTTTTTCACACCACGTACAATAAGCAAAGTAAAGTAATATCAAGATAAAAATTTAATAGTTTTTTTTTTGTATTTTTAACAAAAAATCTATTAACAACAGCGTTATCTTACCTGCATACTAGTACCTATCAATTTTATACTGCTGCTTCCTAAATGTCGATTGGCAATTCAAAACCATTATGAAAAAGGAAGTCAATTGTTTTACGATTTTTCATGCCGTTATAATGACAGCGAGGCAGCAATCAAAAATAAACTGGTGAGTGACTGTAGTCACAGTATCAATTAAAGCAGGTGTGCGACCGCAGCACTGCACTCTTATAGAAGTGTTTATATTTATTAATTATTGCTGGTCAAAATAGTTGAAAATGGTGGGAATATTATTTATTGTAAATGTTCCTCGAAAGGAGCATGAATGTGAATTAAGAAAAGGAGAAAACCTATCAAAACTTATTCTAGAAAATGACAAGTATGAAAACACCTGTGAAGTAATTCGTGAACTTAAACAAAATAAAAGATTTGGCAGTAAATCACCATCCGGCGAGTTATCATTACAGGACGATAACAACGCTATTACATGTAAGTATAATTCCACTGACTGTTTACACAGAGATGAGAAAAATGCCGGTTTATACAAATCTAGAAGCGAGAATACTCTTAACAATTATTTGGACGTTGACTGTAAGACGAAGTCCTCTTGGGATGAAATAAAACAAGTGATCAGGCCTAGAAAGAATAAAATGAAAATAACAAGACCTTTAAGGGGAGTGGACATTCTTGGCGCTTTTCATTGGGACACTCCGCTCGAAACTGTAAGTATAATGTAGGTAGCATAATGTATACAATATTATAAAAATAATTAAAATTATATAAAATATTTTTCATGAAATTTAGTATTAAATTAGAACTAGCCAGTTGTTGACATGTAAAGGAAGTTCTTAATGCATATTACAATGTAATATTTTATGTATGCGAAACGATATCTTCACGAAAACGGTAATTGCTAGGGTTTTTTTCCAAGTACCTTCTGGTGACATCGACTGAGTTAAAGATAAGTTAATTTCCAACTATCTCTTATTTGTATATATATTCATTATAATACCAACTTACTTAAAGAGTAGGCAGAAGGTACCAAGTGACATTGTCTTCTACATCTACTTACACGTAATTCTTTGAATTTCATAGCACGTCATTATGCATAGGCACTCGCAGATTCTGCAAACTTTTAACTTCTATATTACATATATTAGGTAGAACATAGTCTATTCGACCTACCCACCAACTTACATCTAAATATGAATACGTGAAGCAAAAATGTTGTAGTCCTTTTTATAAAAATTGCGCAGTATGAAATTTTGCACACTTATAGTTTAGGTATATAGAGAAGCAGTGCAGTATGCTAAAGTGCATGCATAAAAAATACATTAAATCAATAAAAAATCACTACACATACATAGTAGTGTATTTGACACTCAGACGTATATATACACTTGTGTTTATTGCCCGTGCAACTGATAATGCCTGTGTTTATAGTACTAGTCTTTTATTTAAAATAACTTTTGTTTACTGGTATATATTTTCTATGTGTAGCATTATTAAAGTTACGAGTATATTTGTTGATAGACTAATGACCTATATGTCCAATTAGAGAGCTAAGATTATATATCACTTTTACTACAGAAAACTTAACAATGTTTTTGTTATAGTAAATATGCTATTTGCTTATTTAATATTTTTTAAATAATAATTAAATTTATCATTTAAAAAATATTTACTAGAGTAAATTCCAAATTGGTAATCAGAACCATTCGTATATTAGAATTAATACTGCACTTATAACAAGTAAATTACAAATTATGTAACACGAACAAATAGTTGAAATGTAAATAATTAATTACACAAAATATAAAAAAGGAAATTGCCAAACATTGTACTTAGGTATATTTCGTCATTGTAGACTTTATGGAACTTTCGCTTGAGTTCAACTTCCGTCCGAGCATTGTGCTAGTACTACTACTAACTTTATGGCCTAATAACTTGTAACAATTGACAGTTTAGCTAAGATTTCCAAATTTATTTACAAAGCCAATTAGTTTAACTAATTGTTGCTAATTGTAATTTATTATTTTGCCTTCTGAATTCACTACACTTTTATTTATAATGCTTGAAGACAAACACACTGATATATTGGCTCATTACGAAATGAAAACAGTCCTTCTTACTTGTCATTTGAAGCTGCAGAAACCTCATTAATGATAATTCACAGAGAAAATTTATTATACACAACAAAGTGAAAACCAATTTCAGGTGTTAATGTAGTCACAAATGCAGAATTCTATCAAACCAAAGGATCCCTTGTACCATATCGTCTGCCTGGGTGTTCAGTCTCTCGGAGTTTTTACCCATTTAAGCCTGCGAGAAAGCAGCTTTGTAAAATGTATTTCGGTTGAAAAACGAGATAAGGCAGTACACCTACAGAGTCGTAACATCTTAGTACTGGGGGGAAGGGGATTGTTAGTAATGAGGACTGTTGACCCCATTGCTAGCAATGTACCATGTCAGGTTGACCCCCTCGCGGTTCCCCCTGGAAACCATCGTGATAAATTCCTGATTAATTTGTCACGATGGGCTGACCTGACCTCATGTTCATCTTATCATCCTTCACTGGTGCCCCGCCAGGGTAAACCGTTAGCGCAGGTGGGTGCACCATTCCATTATCATTCCTAAAAAAAAACAAATTAGTACTCCTCAGAAGAACACCGCATGATTATAATATTATAGAATAGAATGATAAATGTATTGACTATATTATAATTATATAGTCAGTACGTTTATCATTCTAGTTGCATAAAAATTCTTCTTGCTCTTGTCTTCAGATACTATTAGAAATCATACAACGCCTCGATATTTGCAATGCAACATGGACTAAAACAAGAGATGACCAGTTTTGGAAGGTGAGTGGTAATAATATGTTGGCAAATGTATATAATATACTCAAAATCTATTATATTAGTATTTCATCATCATACAGTTGCTTCATCGAGCAGATTGAAATCATAACCAGTAGTTACTTATAATATAATAATAATGCTATTCGCATATGTTAGGAAGTCATTATAGACTATCTAACAATTGGCCAGTCGTATAAATGTGTCATTTTAATAAACAAATCATAATTAAGACATAAAAGGCACACAAGCATCGACACTAACGTTACCTGTTCGAATGGGGATTCAAATTACATTGTTGGTTACAAAAGCAAGACTCATTATATTTTCATTGATGATTATTTGTTTTTATGAAATTCCGACTTTTTCCTAGTAAATTTTGTTAACATTCTGATGTTTATGGTTTTATTATTTACTATTAACTAATTTTCACATTGCAAACTTGTGTTTCACTACACTCATATTTTATGCTCATACTTTCAATTATACGCAACTAAAACCATAAAAACTTTAGCTTGAAATTCTCTAAGAATGAATGAATTTTCTACCGTGTTATTGTTTTTACAGGTGATATTTTCCCTGGAGTCTGGCAACTTGTGTGAGGAGTTGCTACAAGTGTTAAGGACATTTGGCATCGGTTCGCGACATCAATCTTCCGTGAGCGTGATCCCTTGCACACTGTACTATAAATCAAGCAAAAATGACAAACAGCCGACGACTGAACAAGAAAAATTGTGGCATAGGTCAGTGGACTACATAGATTCGTTGTATAGATGTATAAGTACCTACATAGTACGTGCGAAATCGAAGATCAATATGTTTACAGAGTTTCTTGTGAATTCGTAATGGGTGAGCATTTTGTAGTTCGTAGAAGCCATTCATGTTCGTAAAACGTTGGGTAGTAAATACAGAAGTTAAATTACAAAAGATTTATTTACAGTTATATTTGTAAAATTCTTCTGTTTAATAAAGAAAAATAAGGCAAAATAATACAAACTTAAGAATTTGTATTATTATTATAGTTTGTTGTTATTGTTATTATAGTAATGGTAGACTTATTCTAAATGTTACTTTTCCATCAATTCCAAAACAGATAAATATTCTCAATTTGACTGTATATTGTGTGTGTATGCTTTTCATTATTATAACTGCCAAAGTTTTTCTGTCTGTATATACATGTAATTATGAACTTTTCATGACTAAATTTGATATAAAATACGTAGATGGTATTATGAGAACAAGTATAGACTACGCTATCATTGATCTCAAAAACTAGTGTGAAAGGTGATAAAATAAGGTATAAAAGTTTAAGCAAACGAAATCACGGTATAACCTAGTGTTATATAAAACCTAAGTCAAATGTATACAAAACTGATGATTGATTTAGCATCAGCATTCTAAATTCGGAATTTTTTTTTGTTCCTTAAAATAAATACATATATTAATAATTTATATTACTTTTTCATTCCAGTGATGCAAATTCAGCTTGGAGTCGATTTTCTTCGTCAGTACGAAAGCGCACCAACTTAGCTCAAGTGCTGCACGGAGTACAAGCAGACGCGGCTCTTACTTTTGACTGGTTGTTCCTACTTCTGGTGGCCGCTTTCGTCGCCGCCATCGGCCTAGTTGAGAACTCCACTGTCATACTAGTTGCTAGTATGCTAATATCACCTCTAATGGTAATTAATATGGAACCAATATTATTTTAACATTTTGCAATTGAAATCCTGACATCGGTTTTCTGATGAATAATTATAAAAGTACTGTACTGTAATATAGGCTTAGGAAATAAATAGACTAAATGTTTTTGTTTAAACAAGAGATCAGTTATGTATCTGGAAAATTTATACTTAAAATTTTCTTCATTCTTGCGCAATCGTTTTGGAACCTGCATTCTGAATGTGGTGTACAATTTAAAAAATATATCAAAAGTGCTTATACTAAGTTACTTAAAACTTCGTTTAGGTACATGGTACACCTCAGTCTAACCAAACATTTTGCTTTGTAAGCTGTGTTTCGGTTGTAGACTAGAGATTGGACAGTGATTACAGGATAAGCGGCATGGCATCTTAATTCTCTAAAATGGCAACGTATGAGTGTTATCGCAACTGTCATGTGATAACATGATGTCGATAGTGCTGTTCATGTATAGAGCGACGATTACCACTTAACATGAGGTGGGCCGCCAGCTTGTTTGCCATTCCCAATTACATAAAACTTTTTGTTTAAACTACACGTTTTTGTCGAATGAGATTCCATATAAGAAAGTATCACAATTATGTACAGAATGTTTATACGAAGGTACAGTGTGTTCCAGTCAACATCTATTGCAGGGTCCAATAACAGCGGGGACCTTAGGTACAGCTGTCCGTGACCGCTCTTTACAACAGATGGGCGTGATGCACGAGATGCTGGGTCTGTTCCTTGCGCTTGTTATTGGCTTCATATTTGGTCTAATAATTTGTGCCGTCGATGAGCGCTACGGTGTTGGAGATTGGCCTACATACGAAATGATGTCTCGGTACGTAAATGAAATCCTAGCAAAACAAGTCCTGATGATTGCTTGAAGTTTTAATTTGTTATGTACCTGCTTAATTCTATTGCTATTTGCTACTAAACATTTAAACAAATTTGTACATATTATACATTCGGTATTTTTCCGTGATAATATTACTTATGAGCTCCCGTTATTTTGACGCTGTTACAAACGTCGTAGTCATTGTTCTAATGGAGATGAATGTAAATAATAAATAGGGGCATACAAATTGGATACAGAGTGTGTATTCCTCTCAAATTTTGTCAAAACTCCCCCAAAAATTCAAATTTGAAAGGATAAAGACGTCCTAATTACTATTATTTTAGACCAATTCCATAACAGTTCTTCAATTCTTGTTTTCGATCTCTTGGGAAAGGGGATTGTTAGTAATGTGGACTAATGACCCCATTACTATCAATGTACCGTGTCAAGTCGACCTCCACGCGTTTCCCCGTGAAAACCATCGTGATACTTGGTGAATTTGTTACTATGGGCTAACTGACCTGACCTCATGTTCATCTTTTCATCATCCACTGACACCCCGCCAGCGTAAAGCGTATGCGCAGGTTAGCGGTGTGCAAAAGCACCATTCCATTACCATCTATTAAAATAAATGTAACTTATTATTTTCAGATGTGAGGTTCGTTCGCTATGGGTAGGCGCGCTCGTAGCACTGCCGAGTGGCGCAGGCGTGGCTCTGGCAGTGCTAGGCGAGTATACTGCCTCACTGGTGGGCGCCGCCATCTCAGCCTCGCTACTACCACCCGCTGTCAATGCTGTTAGTGTCTCCAAATCTTTGGTGTCGTCGTCTTTGAAGTGCTTACATATCCCTATAATGCACTTTAATGCACTCTAATGCACATTACTTTCCTAGTATATCCCTATATTTATATATATTTATTCCACTTTCCAATTTCGAAATTATAGTTATAAACAATCATTTAATTAAATGTATATTTTTTTATTGTAACACTAAAGATAACATAGAGCTTAACAAAAAGACGAGCAACGCCGCGGAAAAGATAGTATAGATAGTAGTGTCTATAACTGAGATTCAATCAAGAACCATTAAATGCTTCAGGAGTGGAAAGGCCAGTTCTTTCTACTTTTATTTAGTTGTCAGCTATTGCTAAGAGACTAATCATCATTATAATAATTATAACAGGGACTACTTTGGGCTATGGCGTTGGTACACCTAATATTCGCGAATGATGATGCTCATTGGACCAATGTTGTAAGAACTTCAAACTTCAGTGGCGACCCGGCGACAGAGCTAGCAATACTCGGCACGGTATCTCTCTCGCTCACACTTGTCAATATATTCTGGATTTTCGTCGCTGGCGTCATTGTTTATAAGGTACAGTTCATTAAAAATAGAAATTAGCGGCAACTCTGTGTATCTTGGCTGGGTCAGTACCATTAATCTATTTCTACCGTAACATCGGTTGGAATTTTTTTATAAAATTGGAAACAAGCTGATGACCCACCTGGTACACTACAATAATGCTAATGTACAATAAATGCTAACTTTCGCCTATATACATGAAGAACACTCCATCACGTTTAATGATCGTCGGGGATTTGATTTGGTCCTTCAACAAAAAGTCCTAAAATTTTTAATAAACCCAAAACACATTAGATTAGTCAAACAATTCGTTTGTGGAGATCTGTGATTAAGCAGTCAATTATGAAATAATTTTACTAGGTGTTCATTTGAACTAAGGATAAACAAATGATGATGATCTCATGTATTTTAGCCTATCATGGTAAAAATATTTACCTAGATAAATTCCAAGAAACACAGGGCCAAAGTCTGTTCTTACAAGTTCTTCTTATAAGTCTATAAATAAGCAGTTAGTCATTAGTATATTGTTTTACAGGTTAAAGAAGTTTGTCCTCTAGAGAGAAAAGATATACCATGGTGGAGAGAAAATAGAAATCTTCTTCAAGCTTCTAGCGACATTAAAAATGAGAATAATGCATGGGAAGTTTACAGGTAATTACTACCACTTGTTACTATAGAATGCAATATTATGAGATAATAATAACTCAGGCCGATTCACACAGAGCCTTTTAGTCCCTAAGCAGAACTTATGTTATAAATACTTACCATCAAATAGAAATACATTACTATATATTTTTTCTTGTGATATAGAAAATGGCCAGACGAAACATAACAACCATGCTCTTGAATACAAACGTTCGCATCGTGCGACAAACCGAAACGGCGAGTTTAAGAAGGATAGTGTGCTAAACCGTTAGACAAGCATACCGTAATACTTATTTATATATAAGTTTTTATACTTTACATAATATTATTGTTATGTAGCAAATGGTCCACCGATCCCGATGAAACTGCAGACAGGAAGGAAACCCATGGTGTTGTGCAAAGCGACACGGTCACCTACCGCAGACATCAAGTCAGGACGAGGCGTCTGCAGGCACAGAACCTTGAAAACTTCTGCATTCAGAAATCACAGTAAATATATATCAAAGCTGCTTACTTTTGCAAATCCTACCTGCGTTTACTATTTTCCTTTAATGTACATACGTATACTATATACATATGGAGATATTGAAAACAATTGATTAAGAAGTTTATAACTTCTGATCATATAATTCTGTTTTGTAGGTAACTTTATATTTATACTTTATTGAAAGTTATTTTTTTTAACAATTGTACCAGAGTACCTACTAGGAGACATTCTCATCTCAATTGTCGATGTCAAGGTGAATGCAAATATAAATGTCTTTTTTTATATAATTTAAATGACAAAGAAGCTAACAGTCCACCTCATGGTGAGTGGTAGCCATCGCCTATATTCATGAACAGCACCACCGGGTTCATCGGTTTATCATATGACACCCGTGATACTATCAATGCGTTGCCATTCTGGAGGTGTAATATGTCATAATAAGAATAAGAAATAAATACAATGCAAAAAAAGGCATGGACATATACCTACTACATCCTATCTATGGACAATAATGGTGAAACTTAATAAAAAAAAATTTTAAGTCTCCATCACCTCATTTCGCTAATATATTTAATAAAATGTATTCTATTACAGATCAGGAGAGAGTTATATACCTTTAGACCCAGAAGCCAACATTGTAGAGAATACAAGTGTCATTAAAGATAAAGAAAAACCCAATAGCATAGGACATAATAATTTGAATGGTAATTCTTTCAAAAACAACAACTCTCTAAATTCAAACAATTTTAGTTTTTATAATATGGGCTTTGATGATGAACATAATGATGGTAAATCTAGTGCCAACATAAATACACATCCAACAATTGAACCATCCTTAAATTATACAGTTGACGCAAAAAACTATAATCTGGTTTTGGGTTCTAAGTCTTTTCACGTGTAAGAAGATATTAAAAACAATATTGACATACCTACTTAGTAAATATTACATAATGAAAACTTATTTAATCAAATGGTTCGATAATATTGTTGCATACAATTTAAAAAATACTTGAATTTTAAGAACAAATGTTTATGGAAATTATAAAAAATGATTATAAGAAAAAAATTGAATAGGTAGTGTTATTTATTAAGTTTGTATTAATGTTAGAATAATAAATTTGTAATTTTTTTAGTAATGTTTATTATTTAATTAATCCTATGTATTCTATACTATACTTTGGGAAAATTAATATCTTTATGCGCCCGATACAAATGCTATAAAAGTAGCCTTCCGCCTGTTTGTCCTTCAAAATATCAGTTTATGTAAAAAAAACTCGTCTAGTTTTCTTTAACGACGTTCACAACTGTGATCAACGGTGGACTTTACAAAAATTCATTCCATTCCATTTTAAATTAGTTTTTATGTAATAGATAATAATACTCGTACCTAAAAAGATACCGGAACAATTCAAACTCTCGCAGATATGTATATTAGTAGGTACCCGTAGTCCCTTCCGGAATTTGCTCATAATTAACAAATAGTTGTTGATGGATAATGTATTTAAAAGTTGACTTGACTGACTACTTAACAAGATATTATGACACCTCTTCACTAATCCCGAGTAGAGGGGCGAAATAATTAATACTACAATAATAACTATGCAACAAATAATCGCAAATCAACAGTCAGTATACTGATGTTATTGAAGCGAAAATGCCGTCAGGCGTTGTGTTTGTCATTTGCATTCCATCAAGTAATTATGAGCATATTCTTAGATTTGGAAAATCGAAAAATACATCTCCAGTAGAAGTGCCTTCGACATTCAAGCCTTATCATTTAGAAGTCGAGTTACGAAATAAAAAGGCTAAAAACCTGCCAATTCGTATAACACAACAATATTCCAATGAAGCATTTAGTACAACTTTGGATAAAATCAACGAGGATGATGAAATTTTCAGCATGGAAAGCGTTAGTATCTCATTATTTATCTCATATGAAAATAAACTCTTGTTGATTTGATATTAATATACAGTAATAAGTTTTATTGTCCAGTCCGAATGTCTTTATTGTCAAATCTTTAGCTACATAGTATAAAACAAAGTCGCCGCCAGTGCCTGTACGATTAGTTCTTTTAAAATACGCAATAAAGCAGTTTTCAGCAAGAGATATAGTAATTAAAGAGGAAGGTTTATATGTTTAATACATGCATCGTTAAATTCAAAGATTGGTAGTACATCCGTTCGAAGCCGGGGCGGTCACTGGTACCTAAACTAAACATATTATAAAAATGATGCTTTCATAAAATTTTGTAAAGACCCAATAGGAATTGTTGGGAAGCCGTGTCTCAGTACTACAATAAATAGTTACTTATTTTTACTACCAGATATTACAAGAGCTCTTAAATAAGATGCATGTGGAACAAGTTGTATGGACGAGTGATAAAACTGGGAATTACTTTGAAATCATCTTCCCATTGTCAACTGGTGATAAATGTGAGACGATGTTGCATTGCCTTACCGAACTTGGAATTGGGGTCCATTACAAGTCTATAGTGAGGTAAAATTGTTATACTTAAGGTTCTTTCAAAAACAGATTTTTTTATGGACGACCTCGGTGTTCTTGTCTTTTAGCACACCGCTTTACGTCCGATGGTCGTGGGTTCGAATCCTCGCACGGCACAAACATTTGTATTCATGAGTATGATTGTTTGTATCAGTCTGGGTGTTTTCTATATATAATATGTATATATTTACGAGAAACATTACATTTATTATATAATTTTTTCGTCCCAATTATGTCATAATTACATTTCAGTGTAGTTCCATGTAATGTTGTACACTCAGCAATTGACAATGAGGATGATGAGGAGACCATATTGTAAGTATATTAGACATCATTACTGCTCTCGTAACAAAGTAGACATATATGATACTTTAATTTCAAACGCAAGGTCTAGTAGAGCAAGAGCCAATTCATATCAAATTCGTTATTTTAAGATGCTCCATTTTTTCACATATTGCTCGTAACAGTATTATAACTTGCTCTGATCGTTGCCAGACCCTTAGTGTGGTTCCAACCCACCGCCGGACCCCCCTAAACTATACTATTTTAGAAATAAACTTACGTCATTTTAATAAAGCTGAAATTTATATATATTATTGAGAGTTCTCTCAAACTGAGTTTCCTAAATTGCCAGACAGTTTTGTTGGTTCCTTATACTACCAGACTCATTGAAACCGAATATTGGGTAACAACGGTGTATACAATTTCATATCAAATTCGTTATTTTAAGATGCTCTATTTTTTCACATATTGCTCGTAACAGTATTATAACTTGCTCTTGCAATTGTTACTTGTAAAGTTATAATAATGCTACGAACAATATATGAAAATATGGAGTTTCTTAAAATAACGAATTTGATATGATTTTTTTTACACCTTTGTTACCTGATACCTGCCAAAGGAACCACGATCCAGGTTTCATGTTTGGGGATCGTTCTTACCTGTGTTGGGGACACACATACAAGAACTTTCACGTTTACTAAAATGACGTATGTCTGGCAGTCGTGGGCTCTTGGGCTATAGCTATAACTACTGAAGCACTGCAATAGGATTTATAAACGACAACCAAAAACAATAAAAACCAGTATCTACACATGAAAATTATTTTATACTTTTTATATAAATCATGTCACAAAATATTATACACTAGTAGAATTTGTTTTTAGTTGTAGTCTATGCCACTCGGGGATAGATATTATGCATTCTAATGGTGAAAGAATTTTTAAAATGTCCTGTAGTATTTCAATTTTATCGTTACAAACATACAAAAATAGAAATCGTTTCTCTTAATAACATTAGTATGACCATTACTAAGGTATACCTGTTATTTAGAAAATGCTAAGTTAATTTTCCAAGTAGTATTTGCAAAATTTGATTTGTGATGATGCATTGAAACTTCACAAAACTTAAGATATAAATATTATGTAGCTATCATTTGACATCTCTTCACATTTCTAGTGATTATTCCGCATATAAGCACAAAACTGAAGAGGCGAAACGTTGGCGCAACTTTGTGGAGTCAATCCGGTCGAAACTAACTGTGAGACAGGTGGTCGATGGCGTCAGAAGTGGTGGAGAATTATCATTCGATTATCTGACTTTAATTATTACTGCTGAGTAAGTTATTTAAGCTATGAGTAGAAAATTCTTCAAAGTAAATAATTCACACCGTCACGAGTGTATCCTAGATGTGGTAGCCAGATGTCAATTTCAGTTCTGATTGTCAAGCAATATTTCAATGGGTATATTTGAATCCAACGTAGCAGGTGGCGAGCCTCCCACCATATATTGAATTAATTTTTGATTTGACATTTGTTTAACATACATTTATGTCACAAGAATATTATTTAGTTACTGTTATTTTCATATATAATAACATTATGTAAACTGCTAATTATATTTTATTTGCAGCTCCCTCGCTGCTCTGGGGTTAGTTGAAAATAACTCATCAAATATAGTTGCGGCTATGTTGGTATCGCCTCTAATGGGTCCAGTAATGTCTATCACATTCGGAACCATAATTGCTGATAGAAGTCTCGTAAAGAGTGGATTCGAAAGTTTAGTTTTGGGCATGCTTCTTTCATTGCTGTTTGGATTCATATTTGGATTAATATTGGGTACAACTGAAATGCCTTGGGGCTTTGGAGACTGGCCGACAGAGGAAATGAAATCACGGTAAAATTAACAGATTTCATAACATGTTTCTATATTATGGATTACTTAAATATGATAGACTAGATACCCTTAAAATATTCCGCAAACGTACATAAATATTTTAAGTATTTCTTAATTAATTAAATTCTTGATTCGAAATATATAATTCACTAATATAAAGACATGCCTATATTTAATTTAATTTGCAATAAGATACCAAAGGATATATTGGAATTACCCTTAAATAAATTCAAAACATCTGTTAAATCATATTTACTGAGTAAGGCCTATTACTCACTAAACGATTACTTGAATGACGAGCGTGCATGGCAATAGTTTTCATGTTTGGGATTTTCATTTAATGTTAGACATAGACACCTATATAAATACCGATGCATTGAAAATAAACTCTATTAAAAAAAAAGTAATTCAATTGAGTTTCTTGCCAGTTCTTCTCAATTGGATGTATATACCGAATATATTCCAAATTGGACGGTAGGGAAAAAATATAATCTAAAAACTTGACGTTCATAAGCGGCTAAAATGTCCTACATGAATAAATGATTTTTGAATTTGAATTTGAATAATAATAATTGATGAGTCTAGGTCAGGTTGGTCAGAGCTCAGTGTTTATATTCATATGCATCTAGTAAAAAACGGTTATTTCAATGTTACAAACAGACACTCCAATATTATTTATATGTATAGATAATTGCAAATATGATATTTCTGACAGTGGCAATGTGCGTTCATTGTGGATGGGAGTGCTATGGGCTCTAACGTCAGGCACTGGAGTAGCCCTAGCACTACTCCAGGGCAGTGCGGGACCACTCATCGGTATAGCAATATCTGCGTCATTGTTACCGCCCGTGGTGAACTGTGTAAGTTAATAGAAGTCAGACTAATTGATCGGAGTGCTCTAAATTTATCTACATATAACCATAACTTTAATTTTACGTAATAACTAGCTGGACCCGCGACTTCGTCCACGTGGAATTTAACTTTAAATTTCTAAAATAAAATAAAATAAAAGAGCCTAAGTTACTCCTTATCACATGAGCTACCTGTCAAAAAAAGTTCCGTCACAATCGGTCCAGCCATTTCAGAGATGAGCCGGAACAAACAGACAGACAGACAAAAATTGCAAAAAATGTTATTTTTGTCTATGTACCGTATTTATATTCATATGCATGTAGTAAAAAACGGTTATTTCAATATTACAAACAGACACTCCAATTTTATTTATATGCATAGAAGTATAGATGATGCTTAATGTTACCGTACCCTATATGCATCACGTTAAGATGTAATAACAGCAATACCATGTATGAAAATGGATTCATCCATTCCGGAGGACTAGATGTTATGTCACCTATCTTGTAATTTCATTATCTCGCCATTCAATCGAAATTACTACGCAGACGACTTTTTACAGTCTATATTCGTGAATGATGTTGAAATTGATCTACCCTATACTTGATAGAGTAAGTTCTAGGCCAACATGATTAATCTGAACATTATTGGAGAGATGTTCATTAGCGCACGGTACACGCCTGGTTTTTGATAAATGACACCTAGCTCGATAAAAGTGTAAGACTTCAAACATCACAACATTTTTATTCCTGATGATCCCTACATTACGTAATGGCACGTAACATAATACTGTATGTTTGTTACGTAATGGTTTGCATGCAGAGTGCACTTAGCTTTTGCAAAGCAAATATACTAGGTATGCATGAATAGTTTCAAGTTACTTTTCATTTTGTAATTTCAACTAGGTATATAGGCACGTATATATGTGTATAGGCACAACAAATATAGATATAGGCATCATACAGAATAATGAACAATAACAGAAATAAAATTGATATTTTTTATCTGAATATCACTGAAGCCAATCAAAAAAATCTTGAGGTTTTAATTAATTTAATTTAATGTATAAAAAATAATACATATATATATATATATATAGGAATGTATACTGCATTAAGTTGCAACATCGATTCTCTAGATATTCTGTTATGGTGCCGTAATAATGAAATAAAAAAAATCAGATCTACTTAAAATATCAATTTATGAAGCTACTAACAGATTCTTTATTTTATCTGTAAATGTATTTATCTTATCATCTATTTAAGAAATCATTTATCGAGAATAATGTTATCATGATTACTACTGTCAACTCGTCTGGTTTTATTTTTATTCTCTTTATTGTTCCATTTTAACACATGGTCATAAAATATTTTTGCAATATTCTAAAAATCTAATAACAAATATCGTGACACAATATTTGTTATTTAACTCCTTCGAAATAGATTGACCACTTTTTTTATTACTTTTAGTGTGTCAAATGTAGGTTTCAGAATAGGTCATAGGCCATTTTTTATACTCCTTGGTGATAAGAGTAGTCCTCAGATTTATATGGCAAAACAACCTTTGTCGGATCAACTGGTATTATATAAAAAGTACCTAGAAATAATATGCTCTAATAAATATTATTCCATACTTCAGGGTTTATTTTGGGCCCTAGCTTGTATTTGGCTGTTATATCCTGAGGTTAAGATTCCTCACATTAAAGGAGAAGTATATTATGGCAACACCACCTATGAACCGTTGTACCATGATTACATGCCTATAGAATTCGCTGTTAATGGTAAGTGGACACTTAAATTTTTCTCTTGACTTAGATAAGGAAATCAACTTCGATCATTTTTATTTTATATAAAGTTGTTTCCAATGGTACACATGGACCTCAGGGGCCGGTTACACCTCATATTATGGATTTGAAAATGCCTTACATGATGTACATGTACTCACTCAGATAGAACATCCCCTCTGATTTTGGATTCCAGTGCAGTTGAGTATAATTATCAAAAACTATACCTTAAAATTGCAAATGAGGTAGGTACACTTTTTTATGTTTTAGGTATATATTGTACTTTTCTTATAACTCAGTAGGTATCTCTATATTTGAAGACCATTATCATTTTCTTTAAAATATGTACATTATAGATAGTAAACATAATTTAAAAACGATAATTGTTTTTACATTGTTCAGGAATCGTGAGTTGCTGCCTCACTATAGTGAACGTTATTTGCATATTTATAACTGCAATAATATTCCTCAAAATAAAAGAGGTTGCAGCACCTTATACGTCAACTCCAGAATTAAGACGGTTCTGGGAGCAAGACATCAAAATCGCTCGGGATGCCAACAGAGCGAATATGCAGCGAGCGGAAGCAGAAGAACGCGCTGAGTAAGTTTTTTTTTTTCAATGACAATGTATTTAGGTAATTATATATATAACGCATTTAGATAACTAATTATATAAAAGGTTACATACATTAATAAGCATTAATCTTTACAAAGTAGTATAAGTAAAGTGCAAATAAAATTAATATTTTTTATCAACAATCTGGATGATTTGTTTGAGAGATGGTACCATTGAGCAGATGCAATTATAAGTAGCCAGCATAATATAATATGGTGTAAATATGTGTCTACGTTTCAGATTGGTTCTAGAAGATTTTAATCAGACAGATATAGTGAAAGAAAAATTGGAAGCTGCAGTTAAAGAAGCATTGGACGACGAAACTTACAGAATGGTTAAAAGAATGAGCTATCAAAGCCATAACGCTGATGAGGTATTTTTATGTTTACCTATTTATTCTTTGTGTGCCCTATGATTATAATATAGAAGAATCATAGGGCACATAAAGGATTTTAGTGATAAAGTAGATGTGCTCTACGATTATATCTAGATATATATTTAGGTATAGGTAGGATATTATCTAGGTATTTATAATAAAGTAAATAACACAAACGTATTGACTGTTTATCTAAAGAGAAGTTTATAGTCATCTATGCATAACATTTTTGACACTAGAAGGTGCTAGTATATTCCAGGCTTTGAATTTGTACATTTTTTTCCATTTTTTAATGACATTCACATAGTTTAACACGGGGGGCCGGGCAGTACATGTCATTTAAAATATGGATGTACTCTTAGTTCTCAGGTCGTTCAATTCTTCTAAGTGGAAAAGGTACAACTGGCATAAAAATAAGATGTGTACGGCTACGTCTTTTATCATGCGCATTGACTACAGATCGTCGTTAATCATACCGAACGACGATGTACTTATTTTGAGAGTTGCTCAGCGACATTTTATTACCAAATCCGGTATTGAGAGATAAAATCCCGAACCATCATAAATTTTACAAGAAAATACCAGTTTCTAGATTATTCAATACTAACTAGATCTAAATCCAGTTCCATACGTTTTATTTTCAGGTGATACGTACTATTGGGCTGCAATCTCAAACTCCTGCTTCAAAACGTTCCAGCCTTAATAACACGGGTGCATCATCACCCAATTATACACATTGTAGAACATCTAATGTTGAAGATATAGCAGCTCTTGACAAACTGCTAACTTCACTGCTGGGAATGAAAGAGAACAAAAGACTCCGGGGTACGCCCGGTTCCAGTAGAATGTCTATAGCGACAGGTCACAATAGGCGCATAGAATCATGGTCAGATAAAATATTGGAGAACTCAATAGTGAGCAGTGTGTTGAATAACTTGAAATCTAAGAGATATTCGGCAGTAGACGAACCATTTTTGACGCCCAATTAACCAGCATACCTAATGCCCACATGGAATCAATGTTAAGGAATGGGATATTAGAATTCTCTTATACACTTGTGACTACATACATTAGTTTATTACCAAGTAAATACATTTGTAAATCTCAAACGTAAACAATAAACAAACAATACATTCATTTGAAGTATTTTTAATTTACTAAGAATAGCTTTCGGTTCCTGCTCGTTCCACGTTACGTGTCCACTCCACTCACTGGTGAAATTATCCGGTTATAGATTCTATTCTCACACGTATACGGTGCATCTAAGCCGCATCTGTGCAGTTATATTTAAAGACATCAACACTTTGACTGTATACGGTGCGAAAAGATTGCCAACTTGGCATGATATGGAAGCACATGATATACGTGAATTTACACGCCAAACTTTTCTTACGTCTCTATAGCAATTTAATTGATTTATATATGACATATAATATATGTGCGTGATTTTTAATAAAATATTTACTAATAATAATAATACCAACCCATCTTCCACCTCCAAGCAGTTGCCCCCGATTTCGATGTCATCTATATATATAATATAAATAGTTCTATCTTATTCCGGAATGGATAGTAATCCATAGAACAAAATATTCCTCCCCGATATACAGCAGAGTAAAGTGTAATGATTTATGGCATGAAATTTCGATACATAGATATAAAATATTAATGCAAATTGTATATAGGTAAGTATAAAAATAACATAAACAAAGGTTTATAAAATCTCGATAGATTAACTGTTAATAGAATACTTTGTGAGGGCTTAGTGTATGTTGGTCTAGATCCATCCAACCTTCTTATTTAGGCGGGAGCTTTTTGAAAGTTACACAAAATTGCGAATTTGTAATAATATGTTTTTATAAATAGATTTTTAATTGTTTACTTATGTTTAAACACACAAAACTCTGATGAATTATGATTAAAATTTGTTTATTGATTTTTAGAGAAACATCCAGTTTGGCATTACGATTAGGGGAATGTAAGATGGTATGCATAAACTGTATGCTATGTACATGCGCAAATTAGAGTGTTTGGGAAAATTAAAGCAAATTGACATAATAAAATTGCAATATTTTTATTAATCTATAAATTGTAAATATCCTATTACATACTTATTATACATGCAATAAATAACAATATATTTTATTAATATTCAACGTATTATTCATAACTATTAAGTCAATTTGTTAATCACTATTATCACAGCACTTTTACTTTATTATAATAGAAATAATAAAAATAAATTGGTGCATGATATTACCCGTGTGGTTGGCATGTTAGCTACACATGTGCCCAGTCAAACATACCACTAATAAATATAAAATTAAATAAGTATATACATAATGCATATAAATTATTCATAATACTCTAGAAATTAGACAACAAATTGGTCCATAAATAAAATTATAGTACAAGACTAATTTCAATATGTAAGTACTTCATTTTTAAGTTATGTGTATAATTTTAAGTACTTTTTCTTGATATTATAAAATTCATATTTCATTCCTCAATGTGGAATAATTTACTAAAATAGATTGCTATGCACAGATATGCTTACCAATAAATTTGACTACATTACACTAAATTTATTGTCAGCATGATATACTTTTAGATTCTTTTGGAATAGATTTTAGGCTTTTACTATGTTTAACTTGTGAGGTATAAACATCATAGCCTAATGATATCGTATTATCATACAGTACTCTATACCTAGTTGGCAGGAAATAAAAGTTTATAACTTGAGCAGGTGGCCAAACCATCCATTCGGCTCTGTAGAGTGTTACAAATTTATCTTTAACTTCCTCTTTAAAATTCTCCAGTGGATTCTCTTCAAATAAAGCTAGACTACCAAAGAATGTGACAATCATGATAGGTGAAAATACAATTTGATCGAGAAACAATTTCTTACTTACCATACCTAAAGATTTTCCTACAATGAACTTATCTAGAATTTTGTACCAATTATGACACAATACACCCACTGCTATACCAGAAAAAGCCATATGCAGAGTCCGTATGCCATCAAATTTTTCTTGCTGTTTAATATAAATTTCATACTTTTGCTCAAATATGTCGCCTAAAGATGACAGACCCATTGATATAGTAACATTTGTGTAGAACAAATAATTATCACTAAATGCTACCTTCATTAGTCTCTTAAAATGTGAAGTAGGTTCAGAATGACGAACACATGTTGCTAGTTTCCTCCATGTTAGTCCTAGTGATTGCATTTCTTGTATCTAAAAAAAAATGAAATTAAACTATGTATGTTATCAAATACTAATCAAAACCAAAAATCATTTATTCTAGTAGGACATTTTAGCCACTTATAGATACTTTTTTCCCTACCATCCAGTTTAATATCCAGTTTCAAGTAAAAAGAACTGGCAAGAAACACAACTTTTAATACATTTTGTTTACATTGTGTACTTATGAACTTATGAAACATGAACAACTGTGTACTTATGAAACATGAACAACTTTAAATTAAAGAAACTACTTGTTTGTATTTTATAAATGTTCAATTTAATATCTCAATAAACATATAATAGAAAACTCGTCTACCAGAATAAATACATTCCCAATATTTATTTCAATATTAAAACATAAAATAATATCATAAACCACTTAGAACATTAAAAAAATAATTAATGACACTCTAATTTTAATTGTGTATCTGTTTTCTTTGATTTGCTATGTTTGACTTGAGAAGTATATATGTCATATCCAAGAGATATACTATTATCATACACTACTCTGAATCTTGTTGGTAGAAAGTAAAAGTTTATAAGCTGAGCTGGTGGCCACACTAACCATTCAGCTGTATACAATGTCCAGAATTTGTCTCTAACTTCATCTGTAAAGTTATCTAGTGGCCGGTCCTCAAACAGAGCCACAGTTGCAAAAAATGTCATGATTATAATGGGTGAACAAATAAATTGATCGAGCATTAACTTCTTCATCACAGTGCCAAAACTTCTTCCAACAACAACTCGATCAATAAAATTATACCAGTTATGACAAATAATACCTGCCATCAGGCCCGATAAAGCCATATGACCTGTTCTTCCTAAATCTATTCTTTCAATTTCATTCTTGTAAAGTTCATACCTCTGTTCTATGACATCCCCAGTCATAGATATCCCTATAGACAACAACACATTGGTGTAAAACAGATATTTTCGGCTAAACAATATACCTACTCCATGTTTGTAAGTTGTAAATACTTTAGAAAAGACCCTTCCAAATGTCATTACTTTATAGAAACATGTTTAACCTAAAACAAATAAAATATTGAATACTATAGGCACTACTGTTTTACAACAATATATTGCGTATTGTCTAAATTTATATATTTTATAACATTACATATATGTAAAAGTAATTAAATAAGGAAGCTATTGTTAATAATCGGACTGTAACATCATACTCAATGCTTTCCCCTGAAGTTCGTACTCAATCACTGCTGAATTTGGGCCCGCTTGACTACATCCTCATGGTACCATCATCCACCATCTGTCAGCTAATACCGTTAACGTAGGCAGGGACACAATCAAGTAAAAACTACCTAATTAAAAATCTCAAATCATCATTACTAAAAGTAATTGCATAATAGATAAATACTGTCAAGGACGTAAATTCAATATTCTACAAACAAATATTAAGTTACTTTCATAAAACAATTATTTTATAGGTTCTGCAATGTTTTGGTTATGTACTTACATAGTATTAGCGAGGACGTAAAAACTACAGGCATAGAATGAATATTCTATACAATAGAATAATATTAAATGCCACTAATTTCTTTATGAACGCTATACTATTATTATTAACACCCATGCAGCTAAACACAGCTTATTTTGGCATACGGCATATAACCTAAAAAATTTAAATTAGGAAAATTTAAATTTATCAAATGATTTTGTGTGTTGCTAAATAAACCTGCCGCTGTCCTCATTTTCTACAAAAAAAACTCCCTCCTTCAAAGCCATAATTATTTAATCCCTTAAAAACGACACCAAAAGCAGAGTAATAGTGACAGAGTCGGTAGCTTTCTTCCCAACATTAACGTAATCCCTCTTCCTCCTTTCCTTCCAGCCAAATGTTTTGTAGCCACGGTGGGGCAGGGTGGGGCGCTTTCACCAAACCTAAAAAAATAAATTATCTAATTACTAACGGCAAGACCTATTATCCTTAAGAAAGTGCATATTCGACGTACAGATACAGTTTGCTATAGGGTGTAACTGTTTTGTATGAATAAAATAATCTGAGTAAGGCCGCGGGTACCCTGAGCTCATGACCGCCAACGCCCATGGTGAGTACTACATTATCTATTGAATCCACATTGACATTTCAAGATCTTCCCTTTCAATTCCCCTAAATTGGGGAGGTTCCGCCTATACTAGCATCACATAATATTAATAAAATCTTCATGTCCCTACTCTATCTCTGACAGTGAAATTGACAATAGATGTCACCTAGTTGTCATATCTGAATTCTTTCATGTCATCTCCTCTTTTTCTATAATGTACTCTGTACTGATACTGATGCTGTTTTGAAGTTTTCTATTAAAGCTATTCATAAAAATTAATTTGGGTTTTTACAGATAGTACATAAAAGTAAACCTAGGACTGCTTGTTTTTCTTAAATTCGAGTTTAATTTAATCCAATAACCATGGCAGGTACGTAATTAAAACTCATTATATTCAGGCTTTAATTTGGCATATTGACTTTTCATTTCTATATATTAGCTTTTTTATTTACATATTTAAAACTGTAGTATGTTAAAAAGTATGATATATATATATATATATATTATTTTATCCAATATAGAAAGTATTTTATTTGAATTTGTATTATTCTGCTGTGAATACGAACTCTTTTTTGGCAGATAAACTAACTTTAGATAGACAGGCAATGAAAGACCGGTCTACATCTCATCTACGAATATACGTTGGCGGCATCCCAGACAACACTACAGTTGAACAAATCTTTGACCATTTTACGACATATGGTAAAATTAATGGTATTGTCACAAACAGAAATTTTGGATTTGTTCAATTTGAAGAGGAGTCAAGTGTTCAAGATGCTATAGCTAAGGGCAATGGTACCACATTTCAGGGGAAAACATTGACTGTTAGAACTGCGCAGCAGAATTCTGAGAAAAGGTATGTTTTTAATGGATGTCAATGCAAATTGTTTCAAAATATTAATTTTGAGTGAATGAAATGGCAAACAACCTGTCTGTCTACCTGATGGTAAGCAATAAGCAGCACCTATAAACGTGAAGAACACTATGGTCTTTACATTATCATGTGATATGCATGATACACACTAGCATTGCCCTTCCAGAGGACTGAGATGTTATGTTTCTTATCCTGTAATTTCATAGCCATACTGCACCATACAACAGAAATATAGCTCATTAAGCAAGCTGCTTGGTGGCTGAAACAGGTAAGAGAGGTAACCATGCAGACAACTTTTTACCTACCTTTGATATGATGTGTGTAAGCCTCCTATTTTCTCCTACATTGCTGCTGTTATTGAGTATATACTTGAGGTGCTCAATGTTTTAAACTGGCAATTTAGTTGTATGTAGGTATAATTATGATACTTATATTTTTTTGCTGAAAATATTGTATTTCAATAATATTATAAATATTTTATATAGATTATAAGATTTCATTATGTAAAAGATTATTAAAATAATTATGTATGTTATGATACATGATTTTTTTTGTACTATAACTATACTTGCCATGCCATGGGTATAGACCCTATTTTAACAAAATATATTTAATAATCAATATTGATGGGATTGGATATAAAATACTTATCCCTTAGTCATATTTTTATTGATTATGGAAGAAATAAAATAGGATGATCGATGTGAAAGTTGTTACACGTAAAATGAGAGTGAAACCAGATGTCAAAACAAATAAGGAACCAGTGGAACAAGATAATATATTGTGTTAATCCTAAATAAGTTACAACATCAAATTATGATTATGCAGGACAGAAGTGGTGGTTGTGCATCCTGAAGTTCCGCCAGCAGTAGCTCTCACTGATTCACATGTTCCTAGTAATGACGAGCCCAGTGAAGACCCGTATGATAGCTATGGCAACTTTGTTGGAGATCAAGGTATTTTTTTCATCCCTAAATTATATCACAAATTATAAGGAATAAGTGTTATAAGGGATGGAAACTGATGAGTAATCACTTTTGGGCTGTGATATTTAATTATCTCTAGATTTATTACTAAATATGTGTCAATATTAAATAATAATAAGTATATTAGACTATTTTTCCCACATTTACATTCCAATTTGGGACTGTTATGTGTCAGTTGGGCAGAGACTAAAAAAGAACTGTGATCAGCTTTGACAAAGATGAGGACATGCAGTCAAAAAACAATGAAATTTTTATAATGTATAAATCTAGAATAATAACTAGCTGACTTAGCAATCATTGTTTTGTCATTTGTTTTAAAAAACTATTGTTTTGTTTTAAAAAACCGGGATGAAGGTGGTGAAAATTTAGTAGGGTATATATATATGTATTTTTAGATGTTACATCATAATCATTCTATTCTATTCTATTATTTTTTTATTATTCACTAGCAGGTTACAGAGATGAAGAATATGATGAAAGTTACAATCAGACTTGGAATGATGGACGCGGTGGAAGGGGTCGAGTCCTTCCCCGAGGTCGCGGTCGCGGAGTCCGAGGTCGCCCACCTAGCTTTCAAGAACGATCTCCTGTACCTGGCAGAGGTATAATTTTTATCATTGTGTATAATGATATGTTGCACGCGCTTTTTTTACGTGATGAAATGTCCGTCCTCGAGATCCGGCTGCCTCCTTCAACTATGGCTGGTAGTAGTATGGTTATGGTTACATTTTATTTTTCTTTTGTTTTTAAAAATATACTTTTCATATCATATGAAAAGGAAAAATGCTTTTTTAAAGTAGCCTAATAGAGAAGAACAACTGTAGAAGAAGATACAACTCGAATTAAAACCTGAAGGTTTAAGTTATCTTCAAATCGATTAAACATAGAACCTCTTTATCTTTATTTGTATATTTATATATTACTATAGAAGTTATTAATGAAATGAAATACACAGCTTATAAAGGAGGTGAGACTGAGATACCCACGCCGACGGCTTAAGCCAAGTCCTACTTACATAATTACAGTATAAAACCCAAAATTTATAGGTAGCGAATGGGCAGACCGAGGTGGTTATGAAAGGTACCCACCATCGCGCCCAGATTACTCCAGAACGCTAACTGTATCTGAGAAAAACGACTGCGAAATTATTGTGGTTTCCAAAACCCTCACGTATGTATCCTTGGCTATTATTTAATTATAATAAATTTATTTATACACATATATAAAATTTAAGTGACTGTTTATAATTTTAAATTAACAACTTCTTTGTCTTTTTTAAGTTATTTATTTATTTTTATTTTCCTTGCGCCGTTCAGATCCAGTTGTAGATTCATTTACTTAGTTGTAACACAGTTATACTCACACAACGCAACATATTTATATTTTTTATGGGGGCTTCGGGCTATTGTCAGGTGCACCTGTAGCTCTGCGCCGTACATTGATCTATTGTGCTCGCCTTTGAAGAGCCCTTTTTTTTTAAGAGTTCGCTTCCCAGACCCGTAAGGACAAGAATTGAAGGATATTCTTAGCACCTTATGGTTTTTATATTCCCAGGATAGAGTGTAAACTTTTCTGTTTGACAAAATGTGCAGATTTTTGCTGTGCGTTGTACACAACATGTAACTGTCACAACAAAATTGTATAGACTAAATTTGTTGTTTAATATTACTTTTTTTTAGAGAGTATGCTGAATACATTGAAGGTCGATTAAAACGGCTCGGTATTGTTGTGGATCTCCTATTTCCCATGGAAGATGTACCAATCGGAAAAGTTTTGGGCAACATAGCGTCCAGAGGTTGTTTATATGCAATACTAGTCATGCCGCAAAACCAGGAGAACAGATCTTTAACATTAACTATCTTACATGGATTACCACAAGGTACAGAAATATAATACTTTGTTTATAAAAAAGTATTTATCTTTTTTATTACATTGCAACGGATTTTGATGCAGTTTTCAGCAATAGATAAAATGATTACGAAGCAAAGTTTATAGGTATAATACATGCATATTATAATACAGAAAGTAGAAAAACCGATAACCTGATGTCCATAGTGCATGTTCATAAGTGCCAGTTTTCATTTATTATCTAGTAAGACTTTGGTTTACCATTAAAATTAAAAAAAAAATGGTACTACAACATTCCAATTTTCATTTAAATTCGTTCATCTATTTAAGCCTGTAACAAAAACCTTTACATTTATACTAATCAGATAAAGGATACTTTCTTTCTTTCTTTATGATTATATAACTTTACATATAATAGAAAAGATACTCAAAATCTTCAATTCAACTATACTACTAGTACAAAGTTAGCCTTGTTTAAGTACAGTATGGTGCTGTTTAATATCGAGGATTATTTGTTTATTTTAGAACACCGCAACATGCCATTAGAGGACGCTCTGCAGCTAATATCTAGAAACTTCCAAGAAGTGCAACGAGGCGGGCCGTCGGGAAGGGAAGCAGTGTACGCGCTACTGGGACAATTAGCCGATGGTCGCACACTCACTGTTTTACAATACGACAAGGTTATAGAATATTTGCAGGTACATAACTTGAACTACATAATTATTTTATATGTGTAATGACAGACTAAGAATACAACATATTACTTGATAAAAAAGGAATTCGCTTAAATGGTATTCGTATTTTATGGGAAATAACCATATTCTGCAGTCACAGGATGATAAGTTACTTCATTGGTGTGATTAATCGCACTACAGCATTGTTTTAATTGTGTATGTTATTATTTGACCATAAAATGATGCATTGCATTGAATTATTATTATTGTAAGCTCTCTTTCGCTTTCAATCTCTAAATGCTCACCAATTTGTGCTTATGAAAGCCTAACAAGATTAGTGATCATCACTAATAATCAAAGAACCTTATTAAACTTTATCATTTTCAGTAAGGATTTCATTGTAGTTAATATGGGGAGGTAGCGCTTAAATCACGTCTTTTTCATTTCTTATACAGCCCTCAAAATTATATGAATTTCAAATGTTAACATGTTTTTTCAGGAACGTAAGCACCAACAAGTGAAAATAGAGTTGGGCGAGCCTCTTACAACAGCACCTGCCACATCAAAAACTCAAGTGGATCTTCAGGAAAGAATATTAAGTATTTTGAATGACAAGAAAATGGTACCACAGAAGGATACTCAAGTGACACCCGCGCCACCACAGCCGCAGCCAAAGCCATCTCTCCCACAAACAAGCCAAAACACGCTTCTTAAAGATCCTACAGTCAGAAAAGCTTTGGACACTATACTTAAAAAGTTTGCTTAGATTTATTGTTGTAATACTATGGATTTATGTATGTAAGATTAAAATCGGATTTTATTCCTATTTTTTATAATGCTCGAAATAATACATTACTGTCATTTATTTAAATGTATGAAATATAAATTAGTGCTGTAAAAGTACCGCCAGATTGAGTATATACTACAACTACTAATATGTAACAACAGTATTGTTATTAGTACCTTTGATCAGGACCTATTTGATTTAGTATCACATTGCAATTGAAATGACGCACATTTATCTGGTTTCCTATATCTTTGTATTATGATTTATTTTTTTAGGGCGTAACTATCTCATGTCTTTCTGGTAATTCTTGCAGTAACTAAGTACATACCAGTTATTAAATACATAGTCCTTATTCTAACCTTTAGACAAAGGATCTTCAGTTCCACTGCAGGTGTTTAGTACATACTTAGTAAAAATAATAGTACACAAGTCATGCATTTCAATGATAATGCTTAAGTTATATTGCTCTTGAATACTGTCCATATTGATCTGTATAGATAGCATAGTACTAAAGTTTTGATATTGTAAGACATAATGTACATTCAAAAAGGCTCTTATGTATATGACTATAATCAAGTAAGAAGTACTATGATATGAAATATAATTAATATGTTAAAAATTTAATAATTGACATATTCTCATTTCAGGTATCCAAAAATAAAAATAAAATAAAAGAAAGCCGTAATTTAATACATTTGTTTTATTCAATAAGTTCATACAGATATATAATTAAAGGTGGTCTAGACAGGTCCGTTCAGAACTATCTAGTAACTAGTCCGTTCAGAGCTGTTCATTGGTGATGTGAAATGACAAACAGTGCCGTTTATGTTATGTACATACACACAAAAGTAATTTGTCAAATACTACTAACTAAGATCCATACTGTACATTAATAACATCGATAATATTGATTCCCGTTTAAATTTGATGTAATACAGAATTCGGGCATTTCTACAAACATTGAAAGCTCAAAATTGTCATTGTATATATATATCATGAATTAAAAATGTCTACATGCATTGATTGAAAAGTTTCACAATAACATTCTACTTTTATCTTTTTAAAATAAATCAAGAGAATGCAATAATGATGAACGCATGCGAGGTTGTGGAGACCGCCTGCGGCATTTGAGATCATCTCAACATAATTTAAATATATTATCATCATGCCCATATCATATTTTCACTATACACAATTTATAAATATTATAAACTCAGAAATATACCCTTTACTACCAGTAAGATATTGTGTTATCACGAATATACTATGGCATTATTATTATTATTATGTCAATTATTTTTATAATGGTTAATTTGATTTCACAATTTCCGATTGAGATCAAGGGCCTTCATCTCACAAATATTAAGCATCGACTTTTAAAAATCCTATTCATTACCATTCTATAATTAAGCTATACAAGACATTATTTATACTTTGATAATATTAGGAATATCCACAACTTAATCTATATAAACAGTTCCACAACGCCCTTACTACTACAGTGACTAAATGCCATCACACACCCATCGAACCCCATAAAGCTATTATTTGGAAGAAATTTGGTGTCAATGAGGAGCTCGATAGGTGAGCGCGATATTTACAATTACAAGGTATCAGTCAGGTATGACCGCACCGCCGTCCGGTCCCCTAGGCGAATTTGCAATCCTCAATCATTTTAATACCTGTCAAAAACTTAAGATCTCTCCGGGAGATCCTCTTGTTTAGAGGGATCAAAGCCCTCTTTAATGTGCCCACCTGTGCCTTTAGGATCTAAATCTGTAGCCCAACTGAAGTGCATAAGTGCCAAGTGTGTGTTCCCTAATTTGTTGTGGACTTTTCCAAGCAAATAATAAACTAATGATTCTCTTGGAGCAATATCTTTTAAATGATGGAGGTCTGCCAAAGCATCTTGTGGTCTACCAGCACGCAATAAAACAGAAGCCCTATGAAAGCGACACAATGGGTTTTCTGTGTCCAATGCAACAGCTCTCTCCAATGTTGCTAGAGCTCTATCCATTTTACCTAAAGCAGCTTGCGCTAATCCTAGCTGACACCTTAATACACCTGAATGGGGATGAATAGTAAGGGCGCGACGAATATGAACCTCTGAAGCTTTCCAGCGCTCTTGTCTTGCATATACTGTTGCAATACCAAACCAAGCAACATAATTACGTGGATCAATATTAACTGCAGTTCTAAAACTTGCCAGAGCTTTGTCACTTTCCTCAGCAACAGCATATTCATGGCCTAATAATGCATGTGCATATGCCATATCTGGTTCTATCTGTACAGCTCGTTTAAAGAATTTGAGAGCGGTTTCACGTTCTTTATGAAGAGAAAAACAATTACCAGAAGCTAACCATGCAATGGGATCTGTTCTATTTAATTCTACTAACTCTTGGGCTAACGAAGATAATTGTGCTTCTTTCTGTAAATGCCACAAACAGGTACTATAAATATCCATGCCTTCTGTGCGACTAGGGAATTGTTTCCTAATATCAGAGAAAATTTTTGCTGCTGCTTCATATTGGGCTAATTCATAATGAGCACGAGCAATCATAGTTTGCACCCATGGTGAAGCTAACTGCCTTGATGGTACATCTTGGAATAATTTTATTGCATTCTTGCATTCCAAAAATGATAGTGCCTTATATGCGTCACCTAATTCTTTCAATAAATGTAATAATGCTATGCCATTAGAATTCTTTGGTGTTATAGTAGGTGTCACTGCTTCTATACTTTTGTTTCTTTCATTGGTTTCAACTGAATTTGGCTTGATGTTTTTGGCAGATCGTTGCTTATTTTTTCTTGATGGACTCTTAGGAGCTACAAATTTCCTGCTTGGTGATTTATTATTTTCTTTAACTGAGTAACTACTATTGTTATTACTAAACAGTCTAGATGATCGTCGAGGAGCTGGTCCCAAACACCTTGGAGCTGGACTGAACACTGCTGACATTTGAGCTTTTAAAGAATTCACTATCTTGGGTATAGCTTTTTGTTCATTGGAATCAGTAAGTGTTGGAGTATATAAGACCGGAGACTCTTCCATAGGCAACATGCCAAATGATGGTGAAAAAGGTATTGGTGCCATGCCACTGAACACACTGTGCATACGTTTCACCGGAGCTTGTGTTTCTGGTGTTATGCTTGTCGACATAGTCATGGGTGTCCGAGAAATAATATTATTTGGAGTCACATTAGAATTCATACTAGTATTATTAGGAATGTTAGTATTAACAAATGAAATATTCTCTGAATTACTGACTAGATTCATTAATGAGGTTACTCCAAATGAAAACTCTGTATTATTGATTTGAAACACATGATGAGGATCTATTTTCTCACCCATATTACATAATTGCGTAAATGATTTCCACATGAAAGGATTTAATGATAATGCTTTCCTATGGGCATCTGCAGCTTTACTTCTTCTTTCTGTAATGTTGTAAATCTTTGCAAGAACTTGTAATGCAAAAGGTGCTTGCTCTCCAAATTCTGATGCAACAATATCCAGATTTGATCCTATTGCTATTTCAGCATCTTTATAGCTGTAAAAGAAAATATACTATGATATATATAAATTTAACTACATTAAATACAATAAAAAAATATAAAGTAAAAGAATTTTAAACCTTGTTCTATTGTGTTATAAGTATTATTCAATAAAGGATCTGCCCACTAATCCTCCAGCAAGTATTACAATAACAAAGTGTTTTTATTAAAAAAAATATTCAAGAATGGATTATATTTTTTAAAGAAATATACTACCAACTAGATGCCTTTGGAATTTTAACATGCATTAGTTAACCAATGAACAAAAAAGATATATATTTTTGGAAAGTCTCAATTTGGGGGTTAAGATAAAAAAAGCAAATACAAAAAACATTCCGATTTAATTTACGGTTTCCAATATATCAAAATTTCTAAAAATATATGAATCCTAGGGAGTCATGATCCTTTAAATTTAATAAAGATGTCTTCCATAAAAGAAAAAAATAATCTTGTTAATGATGGTCAACCTCATAGTCCCTTTTTATAGGGGTTAGGGAAATGAAAATAATTGTGTGCTTATTCCTCTAGAGGAATAAATTGAAAAAACGAGGTGAAATTCTCTATATTTGTGTTGATTTCATATGCTTAATCCTTTATGAAGCCTACCTTCCAATATAATTACTATTATGTAAACAGCTTGCTTGGAAATTATGTATGCAACATAATACAAGGTGCACTTCAATATTACTGACAAAAGAATATTAGTGCTTCCTCTGCATTGTATTGTCAGGCATTTTATTATATCTTTTGAAAGCAATAAAAATAAAAACTTACAGTTTTAGATCTATTGAACATTTTGCTAACAAAAATCTTGCTTGTGGTAATGTTAATAGTATATTTTGTAGTAAATTATGTGCTTCATTCACTCGTCCTGATCTGTAATAACATGTACCCAGCAAAAATGCTGTTTCTTCTGATGAAACTAAAAGAAAAAGAGATAAAGATTACATACATATTTTTAAAATGCATCCATAAACCAAGTGCATACTAAACCTTGAAAAGTACCAGTTGCGTAAAAATCAATATTACACGTAAAATGCAGGTCGAGTTGAATATCAACGGTTTGCAGTTTTGTGGGTATGAAAACGAATTAAGATATTTACCTTCAGCGTGCAATCTCTCTGCCAAAAATATAGCATTGTCATACTCATAATTATTGAGACAATCCCAAACGATCACCTGTTGGAAATTCAAATGATTTATTTTATAAGATTCAACCAAATACATTGACAGTTCCATTAATATGTGCCCATTTAATGTATACTTACTTGTATTGGTTCTTGAACAATCATTGTTGAAGTTACTACACTCTTATAAAAATAAATTACAAAATATATTTCACATTGCAAGCCACGTTAATTATACATTAAGAAACTAAACTAAAACGTTTCTTTTACGACGGACATTTTCATTTTTCAGTTTGTTGATTGTCTATGAAAATTGGCACAGACAATATATATATATATGTCCTATGGAAACAGGTAAGACAGTATGCCTCACAGTAGATTCTATGTTAAATAGTAGGTGCTATCACAAATGAAAAAGTAAGAGGCTGGACAGAGATATAGATAAAATACTTTATAATTCATATTTTACTTTTGCAGATTTCAAATATAATAAATATTATTTTTTATGAGAATGGCACATTTTTTATGCGATTTTTTCAATATTGTTTGTACATAAGGTTTGGAAATAAATAACTAAGATAGTAGTAAAAAATTCTTAATTTCAGATTGTTGTTAAATGTTTTATACTTATATAGAAATAAATACTATTTCTCTGTTTAAATTACTATAATCACTGATATATTCATAGATTTATATTTATCTATAGAATATCTTTTAGTGTTATATAATCTGTGACCAGTATTGCCCGATTAATTTTGCACAATTTCAGGTATAAAAATTCACCCAGACAAATTATGAATTTTTTAATAATTTAAAATGCTTAAAGAAACATAAATATTTAACGTTTTTGGGTAATTAGTTTTTGTGTGGGATTCGTATTTCTTTAATAATATGCATAAGTAATATGAAATTAATACATATATAACTACGCACTCATCAATTTCTATAACACCATTTTGTAATTTTCTAAAATATACTTCATATATTTGGGAAGTAAATAAAACACGGCTTTGGTAATCTAATCTATAGTATCAATTTATGATCTGTGGAGAAAGAGGGAAAGAGAAGGTATATGATGTACTGACAATGTTTGTCTATGGTTTATGTTATGAGGAAAAAATTGCGAGTTCGTCACTGCTTTCCATTACAACTGCTTAAATCTGTTACGGACAAGAAATAAGTGATTTTTAAAGTATTTCATTGTTTTTACTTTGTGTTAAGACTTTGTTTATACAGTTTACTGCAATTAAAATACGTGAAAGTGTGTTTTGTGGCTCAGACAGTATGTGCGCTGTGTTGATAACTAATGACATCTGTTAACAAAAGGAAAACAGTACTTATCTCGACCACTTTCTTACTCATAATTCAGGTAATAGTAAGCGTTTATTCCATGTAACCGTGGTTCAATTATGATTTAAGAATAGGTACAAATGAACTTGTTTTTGAGGCGTTAGAAATAAAACAATTGCCCTTCACTATGGATAAGGTACCCGAAACAAGAGAAAATGTCAAGACGTGTGACCTCCAATTTTTTGTTCCGTGATTACTCCGTATATTCTAATATTTCGTATCTCTAAATCTATCTAGGTATATTGGCAATCGTGTTTTTGTTGAATGAACATAATTGGCGCTTTCAGTAAAAATGCCCTAGTTGGCATGTAGGCGAAACGAAATGGTGATTGAGCATCTTTAATTACTACCGTGTACAGTATTTAAAAATGTTTTCTTATATGCTAGCTCTTACGTCCACGTAGTATTGCAACATGAGTAATAACATTATTATTATGAAGACTTGAATTATAATTAAACAAAACAGAAAGGTGTGTAACTAGTGATTGTTTATTATACTTTATGAAGTCAGTTTGTTACAAATGCTGAATTTTATCATGTGAGTAAATATTTTGTTTTGGACCTAATGTGCCATACCTGTATTTTACATGTAAAAATATATTTTATATTTTTTGAAAAAATAATCTACTGATTTTTGAATTGGTTATTACCTCTGTGGTCAGTGGGTGACCTTAATCTTTATAGTATCAAGTCAAGTTTTGTATGAAATTTGAGCATATTTGAAATGTTAATATATCCTACTTCATCATACAATAAAACTTGTTGACCTTGTTATGTTTTGCAGAACACTTTAAATTTAAATGCCATACAATACTTTATAATATACATAGCAAAGTTTTGCAAAATATATATGTGTATATATTATACCTTGAAAACATTGAAAATATTTACTATTATTTATTTTATAGGTTTATTTTTATAGGTAATTAATAATTTAACCAATTTATTATATTGCTGTTAACAAAACAATTATGTTTTCACTGGCATAAATAAGTACTATCTGTCCTATTTATATTTAATGTTCATTTGTATACAGATCATTTTGATTTAAATCAATAAGAATGAGTTCTCAGAAGTAATCATCTCTCAATTATTTAATGTTAAGAATGTAACAAAATTGCTTTTTAAATAAATTTGCAGTAGTTTCAGTAGATATTAGCTTCGAAATTAAACTCAACTTTGTATTGTTTTGAGATAAAATCTATCATCCTATCAATTTAAGTGTGATAGATACACATAGATAGATACTGTTTTGCATGTATAATATTAAATTAAAGATGTAACTTGTACACTGTTACATATCAGACATACATTGTGTATACAGGTGGTAGATTTAAATATTACAGACGTCATAGTAATGTCAATAGCAAATAACTACTGTTTTATAGAAAATATTAATTTAAATGTATTGAATATGTCATTTGATTATAATGACCTGAGATACTTTTATAAACCTTACATGTACTTAATGTATTTTACTAAGAATGTATAATTTATTCCTAAAGTTTATGCCTTTGTTAATGTATGAAGGAATTATTTCACTAAAAACAACCTTCAAAACTCAAACACACAATTTTTATTCTCAACAAACTTTTTATTCCACTAATTTTAACAACTCTCTAATACTACTGAATACAGACCACAGACTCATTACATTTTTAGATTGTAATATATATATTTTTTTTTTTTTTTAATCAACTTCAACATTCTCCGCCGCCAAGGATATGCCCATATCCTTGTACGTATCATTCTCAGTTGAAATCAGGAAGTCTACAAAGTTTAGATACCGAACGCTGCATAACACCTGTGGCTGTACGAACATCGTAAACTCTAGTTAGGCCATCGGAACTCGGATACTTCTTTTGTATTCGACCAAGGCGCCAACTGGATGGAGACGCTCTTGAGTCTTTTATTAAGACCATATCTCCAATCTCGAAATCTTTTTGAACTCTCATCCATTTCGGACGTTGCTGTAATTGAGACAAATATTCAGTTTGCCATCTTGACCAAAAATCACGCACCATTTTCTGAGTCAATTGCCATCTCGTTAAATTGGATACATTTACCTTTTCATAGTTTCTGTCTGGTAAAGTTATAGTAGGCTCTCCAACAAGGAAATGTCCGGGTGTCAGATACTCGTAATCATCATTAAGTGCTGTTAGTGGACGCGAATTAAGACAAGCCTCTACTTGAGTCAAGACTGTGTATAACTCCTCAAAAGTAAGCGTAGTATCTCCTAGTATACGCTTAAGGTGATACTTCACAGATTTCACCCCGGCTTCCCATAAGCCTCCAAAGTTAGGAGCGCCAGGTGGTATATATTTCCAAACAGTGCCTCTATCATCCAACAAAATTCTCAATTCTTCAGGAAGTTCGTTTCTACCCTGTTTCCACATCTCAAATAGGGTTTTCTCTGCTGATATAAATGTAGTTCCGTGATCACTCCACAGCTCATAACATCGACCTCTTCGTGCAACGAATCTTTTAAATGACGAAATAAATGCTTCTGTTGTCATGTCACTGAACTAACTCAAGGTGTATGGCTTTTGTTGCCATGCAAATAAATAGGCATATATATGATTTATATGCTTTAGCTCCTCGTCCTTTGCTCATTCGACATAGTATAGGACCAGCATAATCGACTCCACTTATTGAAAATGGGCGAGATGGATTCACTCTAACGTCAGGTAAGTTTCCCATTAATTGATTACTAGTAGTAGCATTATATATAGCACATTTTTTGCACTGTCTATAAAATCTCTTTATTCTTTGACCGCCATTTATAATCCAATAATTATTTTGCAGGTATGAAGTCATTAATCAAGGACCTCCATGCAGCGTCTCTTTGTGTGCATCATTCAACAGAAGTGGTATAAGTGGATTATCTCTGGTAAGTATGACAGGATGTTTTCTTTCATATTTCAGCTCTGCATGCTTTAAATGGCCACCAACTCTCAGAACATCATTCTCATCAAGGTAAGGACATAATGGTAATAATCGACTACATCTTTTAATAATTTTCTTCTTTTTCAGGGTTTCTATTTCATCTGTAAAGTCTATTTGCTGAGCTATTTTAACACAAACGGTAAGTGCCTTATCTCTTTCTTCACAATCTATGCTTTTATGTTTAATATTTTCTCTTTTTACATTTTTCATCCATCTTCTACAAAAGGCAACAACGTTCAATAGTTTCTTCAGTGACGAAAATCTATTCAATAAGGTAAGTTTAAATTCATCATCTTTAGTTTTTATAACTGTCGTATTACATTTAATCTGAACTCTTTTTTCCAACTCTGTTTCAGGAATTATATCTTTTGGTAACATAAAATTAGACATTTGCAGAAATTCTGGACCTTGCCACCATAAATGACTCTCTTTTAGTACACTGGGTAATAATCCTCGTGATGCTGGATCAGCGGGGTTCTCTTTTGTATTAATGTACAACCACTGAATATTCAAATTGTTTCTAATTTCTATAACTCTATTTTTAACAAATGGTGTCCATTTATTTGGGTCGCCTTTTATCCAGGCCAATGTTACTTTGGAGTCAGACCAAGCAAATGTTTTACTGGTATCAATGGAAAGTATTCTCATAACATGTTTAAGTAATTTACTTAACAATGCTGCTGCACATAGTTCCAAGCGCGGTAAAGATATTTGTTTTACAGGCGCAACTTTAGTTCTTGCCATAATCAACGTTGTTTGGCAGGGATTTTTATTATTACTCAATACTCTAGTATAAACTACGGCTGCATATGCTGATTGCGAGGCGTCTGCAAATCCATGTAACTCCACTTCCACATCAATAGTACTTCCATTCCATCTAGGAATCTTGATTTCGGACAGTACAGGTAAATCATTTTTATATTTATTCCATTCTTCTTTCAGATCATTCGACAGTTCTTCATCCCAATCTACTTGATTTAGCCAGAGCTTTTGCATAAATATCTTTGCTTTAATTATGGCAGGTGATAACCAACCCATAGGATCGAATAAAGAAGCTATCTGGCGCAATATATTTCTCTTAGTAAGTAAATTAGTATTTTCGCTTTTCATATAAGTAGGTGCTATTTTTAAACTGTCCTCATTTGTCTCCCACATAATACCCAAAGTCTTCACAGTCTCTTTATGATTTATATCTAATACAATACTATTCACTCTTTTCTCAGGATCTATTGAATTCATAAATTCTTGACTATTTGAAGATATTTTTTGTAATTCAAATTTTCCTTTCAATAACATTTCTGCTAACTCTTTTTGTGCATTTATCGCATCGCTCACATTATCAAAACCAGTTAATACATCGTCCATATAAAATCTGAATTCACAATTTTCGAGGCAACAGGATACTGTGTATTTTCATCTTTAGCAAGCTGTCTCATGGTTTTTATTGCAAGGTAAGGTGCTGAAGCCATGCCAAAGGTAACTGTCAGTAATTTATAGGTTTGTACTTCATTATTTTGATTAAATCTATATAATATTCTCTGATATTTTGTGTCTCTCTCTTGTATTTTTATTTGGCGATACATTTTAATAATATCTGCCACAAAAACTATTTTATGTGTTCTCCATCTTAGGATAATATCTCTTAACTCTTCTTGTAAATTAGGTCCAATCAAAAGCCCATCGTTAAGTGATACTCCGTTTGTACCTCGACACGAAGCATCGAATACGACACGTACTTTCGATGTTGTTTTATCATCTCTGAAAACTGCGTGATGCGGTAAGTAGACTGTATCTTTCTCTCTCTCATCTTTTACTAATTCCATATGGTTTAATGTTATATACTCTTTTAACACATTATCATACTCTCGTTTTAAGTTTTCATTTCCAGCCAATCTTCTCTCTAAACCTCTTAATCTTCTCATTGCTATTTCTCTAGAATTTTCAGGTAAGATTGGATTGTCTCTCACAAATGGTAAGCTGACTACATATCGTCCTTGTTCATCTCTCATGACTGTTTTCTCATATATTTCTTCTGCTCTAGCTTCTTGGGAGGTAAGTGTATTTTTATTCTCAGACTCTAGTGACTCACATTCCCAAAATCTCTGTAGCATATTATCTAACGTTACACTCAAATGCATACTAATAATTTGGCCCTTATTTGGTAATCTCTCAACAGCTTCGCCGCCAGATATTATCCACCCTAAGTAAGTTTGTTGGGCGATTGGTTCTCCTTGCTTTCTCTTTAAAACTCCACTCATCAAAATATCTGTGTAGACATGAACACCCAATAAAAGGTCTACATTTCCATGTATGGTAAGTTGGATCTGCTAACTCGATGCCACTGAAATGTGTCCAATGCTCATAATTTATTCTTGTAGCGGGCATGATATCTGTAACATGCTTAATTACATAAGCAGTACACTTTAATTTATAATTTTTATTCATTCTAGAGGACAACTCAATCTCCGCCGCGTGCTTGAACGGGGTAGACACCTGTCCAACTGCTGATACCTGACCTTCTACATCTTTACATTTCAATTGTAATCTCTTTACAACTGCTTCACTTATAAAAGATTCTTCTGAGCAAGGGTCTATTAAAGCTCGTACAAACTGTGGCCCTCTGCTCGTTTCTAAATTCACCAAAGCAGTAGCAAGTAATGACACACGGCCTCGTATTGACACATGTGAAAGAATATTGTGTTAACTCATTGTTTGATTATCTGGTGTTCTAATCTCTTCAGTCTCATTATTAATAGTCTCTAAATTTGGTTTAGTTATATGTATCAACGTGTGGTGCTTTCTATTACAGATATCGCATCTCATTCTATATCTACAAAATTTTACACTATGACCAGGACGCAAACAATTAAAGCATAATCTCTCCTTTTTAATGTACTCTGTTCTCATAACTGGATCTAGCTTAATAAACTCTTTGCATGAAAATATGTCGTGATTCTCTTTACACTTTCCACATTCTGTATTTCTACTTCTCTACTCTGTATTTCTTTTTACAGCATTACTAGTTATTGTAGCAAACGATTTTGGTTTAATTTGAGTTCTCTCTTTCATATAAGATGTTTGAATCATTTCTGTTACTCTAAATCTTCCTTCTAAATATTTCTTAAATTTTTCTAACGTAGGTAATTCTTCAACAGGTATTGTTTGCAATTCTTCTTCCCATGTTTTTTGAGACTCCGAGTCTAATTTATTACTAATTATATGTATTATTAATGGATCCCAATTCTCAATATTAATGTTGTTATTCTTTAAATTATTTAAACATTCATTTGTTGTATCTAATAAATCTTTTATGTTCTTTGATAAAGCTGTAAATATTCGTCTCTGTCCCAAAAGTCTAGTCAAAATTGAATTTACTATTATTCTTTTATTATTATATCTATTAGATAATGTACTCCAGGCGATGTCATAATTATTTTCGGTAATTTGTATGTGTTTCAAAAGTTGTTCAGCTTCGCCAGTTAAACTGGACTTCAGGTAATGCATCTTTTGTATTTTACTCAAATTTTTATTGTTATGAATTAATGATGTGTACAAATCTTTGAATGTTATCCACTCGCTATAATCGCCTTGGTATAGGGGTATATTTATTTTGGGTAATTTTACGTCTTGATTTACATATTTTGTACATGGCTCTTGGACTATATTTGATGACTCAAAACTTTCTAACATCTCTGTGATATCTGCTTTGCAAAACAAATACTCTTCTTCGCATTTCGAAAATAAATCCTTTTCAAAATATTCATGCTTCTTTCTTTGTTCTAATGTAGATGTCTTTACTATATTTCTATGTGTCTCATCAAAGATATCCCAATGTTTCTCTAAACTTTCTAATCTCACTTTCAAGTAACTTTTATTTAATCTTGGCTTCGGTGTTTTCTTAAAATTAGATATAGTTTTTTGTAAGATAGAATAATTATTTTCTTGAAGCACTAATAAATTTTCCATTTTTCTAAATATTTTTTATGCACTGAATAAATATTAAATGTTTTTAAAACAAAAAAAAAATGTTTCGATATTATAAGTCAATAATCACTATTTCAAATAAAATATTGTGTAATAGTTACTTTATGAACTGAGTCCAACGGAACGTCTGTACCGGTATTGACTATGATCTATTTTCGCGCTCACTTAATTACACTGTGCTCAATGTATTTATTAAATGTTCAATTATTTAATAATATCACTCAAAATACAAGTTCTTTTTTATTTCAAACTTATCCGGATCGTAAGGACCACTTAATATGAAGGAATTATTTCACTAAAACAACCTTCAAAACTCAAACACACAATTTTTATTCTCAACAAACTTTTTATTCCACTAATTTTAACAACTCTCTAATACTACTGAATACAGACCACAGACTAATTACATTTTTAGATTGTAATATTTTTTGTTTTTTTTTTTTAATCAACTTCAACAATGTACATGATTTAACCAATTGTACATAAAATATATATGATAAAACTACTATTGGAGCAGTTTATGAACATAATAGAATCTGAAGCAATGGTTGTTAGAATTGTTTTTATTTATTTGTACAAGATTTGGATGTAATTTTCTCTAACATCTAACATTTGGTGATGGTTTTATTTCAATTTATTAACAAAAACATTATATAGGTATGAAGGTGCTAGTTCAGCTAATACTTACTGCTAATGCCACTTTACACCTACTTTTATTCATTCAATGAAGTAACAGAAACAATAGTATCTCACATTTAACATCACATGAATTAACTTATGATATTACAATGCCCACTTCCCATGACATTAATGTAGTTTATAAAAACCTGAAGTTAGATAATGAAATTGTTGACACTAAAATAAAGTTATAAATAATTTTAACTCATACAAATATTTATTCAATTAATAATAAATAAAACAAAATAAATTTAAGTTTATTTATTTACTCTGTAATAGATATAATTAATAATAATTTTAAAGTGGTTGGGTGATTTTTACTTAAAAATAACTTCAACTTTATCAATAATAGCTTAAATACATAAAACAATCAATTATTTTTTACAACAATGTTTTTTTTAAACTTAAATTATCATGCAGATTATTATTTATGTTCCTAATTATATTAGTCTAGGGTAATATACCCTGGATTAAGACTATACTAAAGAGTAAATACTATTGTCCAGTTGAAATCTCCTTGATGACAAGTAAACTTTGAGAGTCAGTTTATATTTTTGACTGATTTCTTTGATGATGAAACACAAATGACAAACCAAATTAATCCAAAAGAAGGTAGTAGGATTCCCTACTGCTAGTTTTTATTCATACATCCAGTAAAATCTGGCTGGTAAATGTCCCTGACTACCCCATCTAGTATAACAGTTGTGAATCTATGTATATTACTACTATTAAATACTCTAACAAGGTAACATTAAATTGTACAGTTTCTGTTAAGGATTAAATATATAAGATTTGCTGGCTACTGATTATATTTTTTAAATTTATATGGAATATTTTGTAATAGTATAAATTTGCATGAATAGTATTATTATTACATTTTACTCCTAATATCAGTGAGGCACAGTTTACCATACAGGTGTGTATATATTTACGCATTTCATCATTATTGTTTCAACTCATTGTTATATTAGACCTTGCATATACATAACTATATACTGTATGATTAATACAATGCATAGAATATCTTCATATTATTGTATCATGTTACCACTAATATTAAATATAGACAATGTATGTCCTCAGGATATAATTTATTGTCATGTCAAATTTTATTAAATCTGATCAGCCATTTAGTCATGAACAGGCATGAAATGGAGTGACAATATAGAGGGTTTCAAATTTCTAATAGGATTATTTTCATTTTCAAAATACTTACTAAGATTATTTAATAATCAAAAGTAATTATAATATGTAGCTATTACAGTTTTTATTTACGCTATATAGCTATTATTGTCACCTAAAATGATGATAGCTATTATTGTCACCTAAAATGATGTTTAATATGTTATTTTACTAAACATTAGAAATTATTAAAACACGGCTAAACTTGTCTATTTTAGCTATTTCCATAGCATTATGTCATATGGTATTTTGTTATGGGGCAAAGCAGCTGATATAAATACAATATTTACTTTACAAAAGAGGGCCATTCGCTCCATTTATGGTATGGGTTCCAGGGAGTCATTGCGAGAGTGTTTTAAGGAATCAAATATCCTCACCGTTGCTTCTCAATACATTTATGAAAATATCATCTATGCCAGAAGGAATATAGACAGTTTCAAAAGAGTTAGTGATTGCACTAATAAAAGCTTACGTAACAATAACAAACTGATTTTACCTAAATGTCGTTTGGCTAAAGTTAGTAATTCGTTTTATGGCAATTGCATAAGGTTTTACAATAAAATACCAGAGTCTGTTATAAATCTGCCAGAAAAAAGATTTAAATGTCAAATAAAACAGTTCCTTTGCAAAAAAGCTTACTATAAAATTGAAGAATTCGTTAACGATAATAATGTTTTTATAGAAAAACTTTAAATCTATAGCACTGACAATATTATCTGATTACATTAATAATGAGTGCGTAGCGACTTCTATGTTGATTATCGCATGCCTCTTACTTGTTATACTGTAATTATTTATATAAAAAAAAACATCTGTTAGAAAGAGCAACACACAAGTTTCTTGCTCATTCTTCTTGTGATGAATCTGCATTCCGAATGAGTGGTAGAATCAAAATATGACTATTCAAAAGTGCTTGTAATGAGTTTATTTGAATAAAGATTATTTCTATTTCTATTTCATTATCTTGAATGTTTGTTAAACTTCATTATAGTTTAGTGAGTTTAAATTGGACTAATTACTTGATTAGATGTGATTGATACATTTTATTCAAATAATACATTCAATTTTATTGGTAGAAAGGTAAAACTGTAGGAAGATATATAATTAAAAAAAAATTAGTCAAGACTAAAAATTCCTACATATATTAAATGATTTTTTTTATTAAAATTTGAGCTAATAATTGTTTTATAATATTTAGTCTGCGAATGTACCAACGGTAATTGGGATATTTAGTTAAATACTCCAATTATATTTTTCTTTATATACCTTCCATGTACATACAGGGAACAGTTACATACTTATGTATTATTTGTATAGATGAAATGAGGAGAAGGGTATAGGAAAAATATAAGTACTATAGACAAATACTATAAAAATAAGATTAGGAATTAATGAAATGAAATAAATACACCTACATATATGAAATATTGAAAGACACGGAGAGACCTGCCTAAAGACATATGAACAAAAAACTGCAATTGGTCATTTTTTGTAATTACTTACAAATTATTCTATTATAGATAAGCTTTTTATGATTTCCTAAAAATTTAACAGTAAGTTAAAAAACTCCGAACGTACTTTTGCATAAACTAATAACTGTTTTTTAATGAGATACAGAGGAAACCATAAACATAGTATTTATTGTTTACTCTTTTCAAGTTATAATATGGGCAAAATTATAGAATGCTTTGTCATAATAAGTATAAGTACGACATGTTATGAGATGATCGCAGTACATGTGAAAGTCGACATTCCTAACTTTCTATGATTAACAGTAACTATCGTAAAGTAATTTTAATTTCATGGAAGCTATTTTTCCGAATACTTACGAGTCCGAACTCAACCAGCCTACTGAATATTCGGCTACCACTATACTGAAATAGCAATTTTAATGATGCTAAGTCTGCATTTGGTCCCGGATTTCGATTCTTAGTTGATCCAATTTGTGAAATGAAATTTCTCATAATTGGATCGGGGTTTGGGTAACTGTTCTGAGCTCATTATTTTTTGTAGCTCACTTGAGGATTAATTTTAACAACTTGTTTCTGGTGTAATTAATTGTTTAACTAAACATGCCGGTCGTTGTACCTATCTATGATATCTCTAACGTTATTTTTAGTAACCAAATGGACTTGGTTTAAGTGTTGATACGATAGATGGATGCACGTGAAAAATTTTATGCTTCGGCGGCGGCATACAAGCGTAAACAACCTTCACTGCTTTTACACACATGCAACAGAACCATCACACGCGTATTACTGATCTATACTACCAAGATCTTAAATCTTGTTATCCAGTTCAACATGCAAGTAAATTGCTTGACTGTAGAATTGATAGATGAGACAGGTACGCGCACAAGCAACTCTGTAAAATTTAACGAGATACCCTAATTGGCTTCACTATTATAGTACAGACTTTCCAAATAGTGGTATAATACCAATTAATTAAATATTCGGGTGTATTCGATTCAGCACATTGCCGTCACGGATCCGATTTTTCGCTCGGTACAAACATTTGTCTTATAACCACCATTTATATCTATAACCGCCACTTTCCTTCAAGTGGACCCTCAGATTTATAATTTTAATAATAACATTAAAAATCTATTGTGTTATATTGCAGGATGAGTTCGACGGAAACGATCGATGTAACGGCGCAGCCGATTGCAGAAGTTGTTCATGAAATGTTCAAGCCGCTGCAGGAACCTGTATTCCTACAGACTCGCACCGCTCAGGTTATCGCAGGGATATTCGTGTGGACAGCACTCTTTATTACTTGCCAACAGGTACGTGTCCGACTACGAAAGTAATATATTACATAGTGTAACAAGAGACCCCTTGATCTGATCTTCAATAGAGGGGTCTATTGAAGCTGCAGCAATATACAAAGAAAGAATGTTTGACTTTCATGAATGTCTTTAAAATTAAAAAGTCTTAATTAATTCTTGTGTAACAATCTGTTATGTTGCTGTTTTGGATGTTACATAGCAGTGGCTAGTTATGTAAATCTACACTATTATAATTGTAGCACTCCCAGAATAACATTTTATTGCTATATTAGAACGAGAACTTCGTTGCATGTTATTATCCCAACCTACCCCCAAAAGGTCGAGCGTCCAAATCAATCAAATCAGGCAGATAATAAAAAAATACTTTGTGTGTAATTTATGTAACTGACTGAAAAACACTAATAACAAAACTAAAAATTAATCCGAGTGATGGCAGTAGGCATCGCCCTCTACTACGTTTCAAATATACCTAACGAAATGTGGGCATGTCAAATACTGCGTTTCAACAATATTGTAACTATATACTAACTACTAATAATTAACACTCTGACTACTCCACCCGGCGTAACAGTCGTGTGGTTGTGATGTTGGATTGTTGTCATTGTTACGGTATAATATTTATTCTCACTTTTTAAATCTATCATAATAATATTATAAAGAAAAATCTGTATGTCCATTGTTAGTTGATTTGACGTGAAAATAGATCGTATCACGAGGACATAGACTGTGTTTTATCTCAAAATATAAGAAGATGAGAGAATATAATTAAGTAAATGAAACTTTAAAATATTATTCCTCTACCTGGTTATGAAATAAATTAGATAGATAAAAATAATGTAATCATATACTCAACTCTGCACAATCTGCGTTACACAATAGATATTTAAATTATTGCAAATAATTAATTCTTGAAATTCTTTATTCTTGTTTTACCTATATTGCGGCCTCCATAGATTCATAGCACATTTTACCGTTGTTTTCTCATTTGTTAGATCAATGGAAAGTCTACGACGCGTAACGCAATCGTAATTATAATTTATAGTTAAATATTCTTCTATTTTTTGTCTAGTACATACATGCGTCATCATTTTTTGTGAATAAAATAATGATTTTCCACAATAATAAAGAAATAACGATATGTAATAATAACCGTGTATATGACAATAAACTTTCGGCCTCGTGTGCACGTCATATATTTTATCACTCTAGCTACTTTAGTTGAGAATAAAGAATATCCCTTTATCCCATTATTTTGGGTCGGTGCAGAATATCCTCTTCTTCCACGTGTGCAAGAATTACAAACCCATCTGTCAAACTTCTTACGTGAAGCGATTTTGACCGTTATTCGAAGCGCTTGGGATATTGTGAGAGTTACACTTTAAACCCTCTGTACGTAAGATTGTGTGATATTCTGCTCTAATATCCCCCTCTCCCCATCACCTCATGGAATTAAAGAATGCCGTCTAATTAGATAATTTTTACATTTATTTACATATCTGCTGCATAAATTGTATCATTAGGCACTCGGTTATATGTATATGAAGTATATATTCGTGAAGAAATCTGTATTGTGAAGAAATCAATAGAATAATGTTGTAGTTAATGAATCATTGTTTCATTGCGTGTGAGGAGTAACTACTATTGTGTTGATGTTAACATGTTTCATTATTTACTCAGAAGACGGCTATTATTATTGCAGTATGTATGTGTTTCAGAGGTTGCCTTTGTCTTAGTGGAATATATTGCCAAAATACCTTATAAATATTTGTTAATATAACTTGAATAATGAAGATTTTATTATAAAAATGATTAATAAAATATCATGCAACGACTTTGTCATAACAAAACTAATTTTTCATATTGCGTTTGACAAGGTTTCCCTGATGGTCTCATACTTAATTAGATCACGATGAAATTAGGCTCTATTTTTTTTAACAATTTTAGAATTTTTTTAGTGAATATTTATTGTATAAATTTTTATCAATTTGTTCAATATATAATTTTTATATTATTACACATTTTATTTATGTCTTCATCAATTAACAAGCTGCAATAAATTTATATTAATATAACAAAATAAATAGAAATTTGATTTTATAGATTCACATGTGGTTTAAGCGCGTTTTGACTTAAACTTATACTTATTTATTTTATTTTGTATTTATGTATATGACCTCTATTAGAAGACATTATTATATCGATTATTAGTATTATTGTATCTACTATTAGTAGGTATATCAACTCTTATCGTACCATGACCTCTTTTCCCATATACTGTATAAGTGCCTCCAAAATCTAACGTAGCTTGTGTTAAGTGCATGTAGAATATCTACTCGTATGCGGGTAATAGCCGTTTTTTTGCAAAAAAACCTTTTACGGCATTGCGGCTTAGACTATGAATTACAAATGCCCATTCTTTTGTGTATTATCGGACTCTTATCAGTGTCGCTCCAGTTATGAACTATGTTCCGTTTTGTTATACTGAGTTTCTACAATGTTCAATGGCGGTTTACACTACCTATACATTTTTTTATAACTTACTTTGCAAATAAACTGACAATTACTGTTGCAAATATATTATAACTACATAGAAAAAAAAGCAAACTGAATATAAAATTTACTTATGCATTTTTCATGTTACACAGCGACACATTCGTCTTTGGAATAAGCATACGACCCAATTACCACTTGCTGACTAGTGAACAGTACTTGTCGCCTATTGATTTACATACACCGACATCCATATTACTCCACATGTTATTCCTTCGGACCAATAATTGTATTGATATCTAATGCTAAACAGGATGTAAGCAAACTCCTATCGAAGAAATATATCCTCACCTCAACACCTCAACACCGATTTTGTATCAAATCTGTTACTAAGTCTGGTAAAATTGTATTAGGTTCCCGTGTACAGTATCTGTATCTATTTAAATAGTAATAACTTTTAACAAAAAGGAAAAGAATATCTATGTAATGTATAGACGTTGTAGACCGTTATACGGATTATTATTCAGACGCATGCATTTTGGTTTGATACCGTTTGCGTGGCAATGGTATCTTATGGATGATAATAAAATGAGCATGAGGTCAGGCCAGTTAGTCCATCGTGGTAAATTCACCATAAATTTATCACGATGGTTTCCAGGGGGAACCACATAATCAACCTGACATGGGACATTCCTAGCAGTGGGGTTATTAGTCCACATTACTAACAATCTCCTTCCCAGTTCAGTGGAATTAGATGATAGTTTGAAGTTGATTTTATTGTAGTGATCTAGTTTTTCTTATATACTTTGGAACTGTAAATGAAATTATGAATAAGTTTCTAGCAGTTCAAGTACAGCCTGTAGATGTCAGTATCATGTTCTGTTTACTACACACACATACATGTATCTAGTTTCAAAATAACTAATTAATTACGTCGCCTATAGATAAGCATTTCTAGTAATTAACAAAGTCCATTATATAGTTTACTTGCTGTTCGCGACTATGTCTACCTTCTTTTAGATAACAGATAGCCTGTCCGTGTTCGTGATACGATCTATCTTAACATATTTTAATGGAGATTCATATCTAAGAAAAATATGTAGTTAGTTGGTTATATTTTGTTTTAGCCCACTTCTTAAAGGTGTAAGCAGATTACCAATGAAATTTTTTCGCATTCCATTAAGATTTCTTCTATCTTAATCTATTTATGATTGAAGTCTGTTATTCTAAAATTAAACCATTGTGATTCCCAATTATAATAAGATATCAATTAAGGAAGGATGATATTGGTCTTAAATGGAAAATATATAATCTATTAAATTTTTGATACGAACGCATTCATACAGCATAGTAATATAACATTTTAAAACAATATGAATGTTTATAATCATTTTGTTTAGTAAAGAATCATATCTATTTATTATATTTAGGTATATAAAATCATGCACTGTCTTAGAAGCAGATATTTGTAAATATAAATGGATGAGTAAAGGCTTACGTCAGACGCACTGCCGCTCCCAATATCCTTATTGACTAATAACCTAATGGTAACAGCTAGATGCTAAGGTAATAGATATTATGTTCACGGCTATAATGTGCAAAAATAGTAGACTTGAGACATTTTGTTGATCGGTAGCGATGTCTTATATCAGAACAGTGTACACTTAAGTAATTGGAATAAAAAAACTTTATTAACCTTGTTTTAAAAGGCGAAGTAACTAACACTTTAAGCATGAATACTTTTATATAAAATAATAGTTTCAAATAATAAATATTTTAAATTGCCCTTATAAAGATAATACTAAATATCTATCTAAATATAATATTGTTTATGTAGAACAACACTAATAGTCATCTTTGTGATTTTATAACTAGCTATAATTCGCGGTCTCGTACGTGCTACGTAATTACAGATATGTGTTCTAAAAATGTAATAAAACAAGCTCAGCAATTAAAATTTTCAGACAAACTGTAAGAAAATTATGACAACATATATTTTCCCATACCACCAGATATAACACTACTCACGTGTTATCCTGTTTATATAAATAATTATGTACATGTTTGACTGAATTATGTAAAACTTCTCATGGGATGTAGATTAAATTCTATAATTTCTAATGTACGGACAATTTGTAATTGCAAACCAATTTAGTTTATAACTAATAAATGGTTTATAGAAAATCTTAATCTATTGCAATTAAGAATTGTTACTAAAAACACATGTCAGTAGTTTGTCGATAGAAATGATAGATTTGTATAACAAACATTATCGCAGTTTATCGTTTGAAACGAATTTATGTTTGTATCACAAATTTAATAGAAACGATTTCATACAATCTTACATAATTATACGGCCGGTCTACATAACTATCAAAATAAAAAATTATATTGTCATTGCAGATTTACCAGCATCTTCGCTGGTACACAAATCCATCAGAACAGCGCTGGATAGTCCGGATATTGTTCATCGTACCTATCTACGGCTGCTACAGTTGGATCTCGCTGCTCTTCTTCAATGGAAACTCATATTACGTCTACTTTTTCACCGTCAGGGATTGCTATGAAGGTGTGTATATGTATGGAACAGCAGCAATGCAATGTATCAATTTGACAACAGGAAAATATCATAAAAGTCCTCAAGTTTTGTTATATGTTACATAATGAATGTATTATTTTTTTATAATTCAAGTTTCAAAATCCAATCATATAGGTTATAATAATTTTCAGAATGGGCTACAAAGGGAATTCATAAAAGTAGAAATATATTATTTGATTTATATGATCAAAAAAAATACCGTTTCGATAGTACATTCGTAAATTATGTAAAAAGATACTCAAAAACTTTTAAAAAGGTATGTAATGTAGCAAAGTCTAATTATCTAAATAAAAAAATTAAAGAATCCAAGGATAAGATTAGGACAGTGTGGAATATTATTAATAAAGAAACTGGCAAAGTTAAAAGTCCATATAATGATTTTACGTTAAATTATAATGATAAACTAGTAACGTCCACGAAAGAAATAGTCAATATTTTTGAAAAATTTTTTGCTAGTATTCCAACTGATATTACGTCCTCTTTGGACTCTTCTCCAAGTACAGCTAAATCATTCCTTATTGACAATGTTGCTTCGTGTCCGGTTACATTTAAATTTACATTTATTGACATTGCTACAATTACGAAAACATTTAAACAATTAAATTTAAAAAATACTGAAGACCATTGGGGCATGTCTGTTAAAGTTATTAACACCGCTATAGATGTTATTGCTCCATATTTAGTAACTATCTTCAATAAATGTATTTTTGACGGTGTTTTTCCCAATTTAATGAAACATAGCAAAATAACTCCACTCTTTAAGTTAGGGGATAAAACTGAAGTAGGTAATTATAGGCCCATTTCTATCTTACCAGTACTAAGTAAAGTGTTTGAAAAAATTATGCTCAATCAGATGCTTCAACACTTTAAAATAAATAGACTGCTTCACAGTCGGCAATTTGGTTTCACAGCCGGTAAATCAACTACTGACGCTGGTGTAGCTTTAATGAAACACATTTTTGACTGTTGGGAGAGGTCTCAGGATGCTATCGGTGTATTCTGTGACCTCTCAAAAGCATTTGATTGCGTTGATCATGAAACACTCTTACTCAAATTAGAACATTACGGTATTAGATATGAAGCACTATGCATGATGAAATCCTATCTAAATAATAGAATGCAAGTTGTTGAAATAAATGGTGCAAAGTCTGAGGGAACTAGTATTAAAATGGGTGTTCCTCAGGGCTCTATTCTGGGTCCTTTCTTATTTTTAGTTTACATAAACGATCTTCCTTATATGGTAGAAAAGATAGCTGACATAGTTCTGTTTGCTGATGATACTTCATTAGTATTCAAAGTCAATCGACATATTGATGATATGGACGAAGTAAACGGTTCTCTCTCTTATGTTTTAAAATGGTTTACGGCAAATAATATGCTACTAAATGCAAATAAAACTAAATGTATAAAATTTACTCTCCCCAATGTAAGGCCGGTAGATTCAAAAATCGTATTGGACAATAAATCTATTAATTTTGTTGACGATACTGTATTTCTAGGTATCACATTAGATTCCAAGTTGCAATGGGGTGCTCATATTACTAAATTGGCGAGTCGACTTAGTTCTGCCGCTTATGCGGTAAGAAGAATTAGACAATTAACAGACGTGGCAACGGCTAAACTTGTGTACTTTAGCTATTTCCATAGCATTATGTCGTATGGTATTTTGTTATGGGGCAAAGCAGCTGATATAATTACAATATTTACTTTACAAAAGAGGGCCATTCGCTCCATTTATGGTATGGGTTCCAGGGAGTCATTGCGAGAGTGTTTTAAGGAATCAAATATCCTCACCGTTGCTTCTCAATACATTTATGAAAATATCATCTATGCCAGAAGGAATATAGACAGTTTCAAAAGAGTTAGTGATTGCACTAATAAAAGCTTACGTAACAATAACAAACTGATTTTACCTAAATGTCGTTTGGCTAAAGTTAGTAATTCGTTTTATGGCAATTGCGTAAGGTTTTACAATAAAATACCAGAGTATGTTATAAATCTGCCAGAAAAAAGATTTAAATGTCAAATAAAACAGTTCCTTTGCAAAAAAGCTTACTATAAAATTGAAGAATTCGTTAACGATAATTGGTTACGCCAAACGCGATGCGTACCTGGTTTGTTGATGTGCATTGACACCCCTCCCGGCTAATTCAATAATCAGTGATGTCATAGCTTTCGCCGCGCGCGCACGTCGCACTCATATCGCACGCATGTCTTAATAGTTGTAATCAACCTGAGTGAATTCCTGAGATTCCCGTAACCGTGTGGGCCCACTGAAGAACAAGCACATTGAAGTAGGGTAAGTCATTCATATACGACCAGCCAGTTTCCTATACAACAATATAGTCCATCGAAGAAGGCTAGATCATAGCCACCGCCGCACCATTTATTGGCCTTCCGTCGCCGGATCACAATAGGAATCGCAATTTATTTATTTAAAATTTGTTTTAATTTTTTCCTATTGTGAAAGTCGAGTGAATGACTCGCATGTAATATTGAACCTTATTGCGCATGTAATAGGATCTATTCAAATTGCATACCACGGTTGCACAAATATAACGATACATTGGTATTTTCGTTAATAAATAAGTTTATATTTATGTCGCTTATGAATTGTTCATAACTCGCAGCTCAATTCTTCAATTTCGCTTTATATCTGTTTGCGTTGTTTCGTTCATTTAATTTCACATTCACCCGCATTATATCGATATTGTTCGATCGATCGAAGCTTCTAGAAATATTATAGTTGTCGTTATACTATTTGACGAAACAATATTACCTGTCGAATATTATGTATGATGATTGTAGTGTTTGAATGTTAAGATTGTTAGTGTTGGTTACCGTAGTCTTTACACAAGAAAGTGAGCAGGGAAAGCACACTATTTAATCTGAATAATTATTGATAAGCAGCGATTTTATTTCTGTTCGTAATAGATATTTTATTTCCTTGCAGTACTCGCCGTATAATACGCTGGTTATTGTAAATTGTTTGGGTATTTAGTTCGCATAGCTGTTTTATACAATACATGTCGGTTAAAGATCGTGCCCTACGTACCTATGATTAAGTTATACGTGGTGTATCGACACAGTGACTAACAACAACGCTTTAGACTACTCCCGCGTAAAATAATAGTTGTGAACATAGTTATTTTATATCTTTTAGTTATAGTTATAGATATTGGTTACGCCAAACGCGATGCGTACCTGGTTTGTTGATGTGCATTGACACCCCTCCCGGCTAATTCAATAATCAGTGATGTCATAGCTTTCGCCGCGCGCGCACGTCGCACTCATATCGCACGCATGTCTTAATAGTTGTAATCAACCTGAGTGAATTCCTGAGATTCCCGTAACCGTGTGGGCCCACTGAAGAACAAGCACATTGAAGTAAGGGTAAGTCATTCATATTTGACCAGCCAGTTTCCTATACAATAATATAGTCCATCGAAGAAGGCTAGATCATAGCCATCGCCGCACCATTTATTGGCCTTCCGTCGCCGGATCACAATAGGAATCGCAATTTATTTATTTAAAATTTGTTTTAATTTTTTCCTATTGTGAAAGTCGAGTGAATGACTCGCATGTAATATTGAACCTTATTGCGCATGTAATAGGATCTATTCAAATTGCATACCACGGTTGCACAAATATAACGATACATTGGTATTTTCGTTAATAAATAAGTTTATATTTATGTCGCTTATGAATTGTTCATAACTCGCAGCTCAATTCTTCAATTTCGCTTTATATCTGTTTGCGTTGTTTCGTTCATTTAATTTCACATTCACCCGCATTATATCGATATTGTTCGATCGATCGAAGCTTCTAGAAATATTATAGTTGTCGTTATACTATTTGACGAAACAATATTACCTGTCGAATATTATGTATGATGATTGTAGTGTTTGAATGTTAAGATTGTTAGTGTTAATTACCGTAGTCTTTACACAAGAAAGTGAGCAGGGAAAGCACACTATTTAATCTGAATAATTATTGATAAGCAGCGATTTTATTTCTGTTCGTAATAGATATTTTATTTCCTTGCATGTCGGTTAAAGATCGTGCCCTACGTACCTATGATTAAGTTATACGTGGTGTATCGACACAGTGACTAACAACAACGCTTTAGAATACTCCCGCGTAAAATAATAGTTGTGAACATAGTTATTTTATATCTTTTTAGTTATAGTTATAGATATATTATCTGATTTTCTATGACATCACTCACTTCGATTTCGCTTTATGTATAGTTTATGTTTCGCTCGCATATTTTTTTTTGTAGATGTATGGTCGATACCTACATTCCGTATTGTCGCACTTATGTACCTACATACTACCGCTTATGAGTAGGTATATATAAATTTATTTGTCACGCGCTTTAGTGTTTAAAACGTTATTGTGATTTACTTCTCGCACCGCATATTTAAAATATTGCTTTATGCATTATTTTACTTTTCTCGCATATAGGTATATATAGATAATAGTTGTACCTATTTTTCGCATTATTAATTAGTAGTTTTATAGCATAGCAAGCATATATTTTTTATGTATGCTAGTTTATATCGCGCATCATTTCTCGCATTTGTGTACTTTATTTTCGCTACAAGTACTTTTGTCTTTCTTGTAGGTATTTAGTACATTAAATACCTATTATACTTTATTATTGTTTATCGCTCGCCCTTTTACGGTAGTACAGGTATAGTTGTACGTTATTACCGCACATAGTTTTATATATCGCATTTATTGGTTTTCCTTTGTTATTTTTTAAGAAGTATATATATATAAATAATAATAATGGCTAACACAAACGCAAAATTAAAAATGTATGAAGCAAAACGTGCACAATATTTTTCGCAACTTCAGTCTATTTATGAATTATCTTCGAAAACTAAAATGGAGAAACATCGTAATGTTTTTATTGCAAAAGTTAGCCTGATCGATCAAATGCGCACCGAGTATGTTAAAATTGT